GAAACACTGCATTCACATCGAGTGTCCATCGTAATTTCCAGTGCTCATCGATGCATTTGCAACCAGTCTGTTGTTTATGTTATCCAACTAGTTGGTTGATGCTTTAGCAAACGTTAGCATCTACTGAGTGATTAGCTAGCTAGGTAACATAAATGTAAAATTGGTGACAAAATAAGTGAAAAATACAGATTTTCCGTTTTATTGAGTAGTAGCCTAATATGAGAGAAAACGCAGAGCACAGACTCACCTTTGACAAAAATCTGACCAACGGGGCAGCCATGGTTTGTTATGAAACTGCGAGTACGGGAAAGGCTGATGGTGCCTTCATGGAGATAAGGAATCTCCCCTTTTCACACAGAAGTCATGGCTTCTTTTTTAAGATATGTGCTTTTTAGACTTTCTATCAATGCTGCAGTATAATATATTAAGGTACTGGAAATTTTATCCAGTATAAACGTCTAAAATATTTTTAAGAAATTGTGCCTGAATCAAACTGACTGACTTTGTCTGACGTTACAAGAAGGCAACATTTCGAACGCATAGATGTAAAAAGGTAGACGCGGCATTTACTGCCTCCAAATAAGCCATACGTCAGCGGCCACCATGTTGTGAGTGGCATCTTTTCGCGACGTTCACTGGAGAACCCCTCCAGACCCCTTAAGGACAAGGGTTTAAGAAAATGGATGGACACATACATATACGTTAGTTAATATCATACTTTTTATATGCTGTTCTTCATGGTCAAACTCACAGTTGAAGGGTGTGTGTGTGTGTGTGTGTGTGTGTGTGTGTGTGTGTGTGTGTGTGTGTGTAATAAAATTAACAATGTTATTAGTGCTTATTTAGAAGTCAGGTGCTTGTTTTGAACTAAAGACATTCGTATTTAATTACGGAGCATGTAAGTTTATTAAGCTTGAAAATAAGTTATTTTTAAATAATATATAGATGTTTTAGACTTAAATGCCACTCACAATAAGGCGGCCATGTTGACGTTACCGTATGTCTATGGTAACGGCTATCAAGCAATAAAACATGAGCTATGGTAACGGCTATCTAGCAATAAAACATAAGCTTCATGTTGCTGTGCGTAACATTAGAATCCGAAACGTCAAATAGGAAGTCGGGTGAAGAAGGTTTCAAACTTGAATTTTACAGAATAACTTCAGAGAGATTAAGGAAGAACAAGGACGCGTTGGCAATGCTACCAATAGATACCCACTGAAGACAACAAGAGCAGCTACGACACTCTCGAGGCGTCTTTGGATGTTATTTCAGGTTCAACGGAGAAAACAAAACATGGAGGAGATAAAGACTGAGCCTGTGGATTTTGTGAAAGAGTTTCAGGAATACCTAACGCAGCAAACTCAGCACGTCAACATGATTTCGGGCTCTGTTTGCGGAGAAAAAGAGACAACGGAGCCGTTTCATGCCGGTGGGAAGGAGTACAAAGCAAAAGAGAAATATGTGTCAGATGAATATCTACTCCGAAGCCATGGTCTTATCATATATGTGTGTGTTTTTAGTTGCCCCGAGGTGTGAGCAGAATGTCCTGGACCCCCCTTCTGTGGAGGTGAGCCTGCCGATGGAGGACGGATCAGACATACAAGTGGAGAGTCTGGAGAGAACTTGCGATGGGAAATACAAGTGCAGCTACTGCAGCTATGCTAACAAGGGCATGGCTCGTTTAATAGAGCACATACGCATCCACACAGGTCAGAGCTTCCGTTGCATCTTCATACTGTAGGGCATTATAACAAGCTGCTAACTTCAACCTTAATCTGTTGGCATTCCTGATAGAAATGTGTAAAATGCAAAAAAAAAAATTGTAAGGAAAATACGTCCTTTTATTCAAATTTAAGTCTTTTTTTGGGGGGGGGGGGACAAAAATGTTTCAAACAAACCACTTCTTTGTTGTTTCTGCCAAATGTTATGTGCATTATCCTATATAGATGGACCTATTTTTGTCCAAATGAAATCATCACTTTTGTATCTTAAAATCTTTCATCTTAAGTTAGCAAGACCCTTCCAATACAAATAGGCCCACAGGATCACAGATCCTCTACCATACTAAGCATGAGGTGCATTTACCATCTTCTCATCTAGTGTGTGACATTTTATTTGGTGTGTGCAAGCATCTGGTTTTCAACAGTACTTATCAGTACCATACATGTAATGCAATGTTATTACCTGTTTTTGCAGTATGTTGTGTAATAAAACTGGAAATATTTCTTCATGTAGGTGAAAAGCCTCACCGCTGCCAGCTGTGCCCGTTTGCTTCAGCATATGAGCGCCACCTGGAAGCGCACATGCGCTCCCACACGGGAGAGAAGCCCTACAAGTGTGACCTCTGCGCCTTCCGATGCAGCGACCGCAGCAACCTGTCACACCACCGCCGCCGCCGCCACAAGCTCCTGCCCACCAGAGTGGCCCGTTCCCCTTTCTCCAACAAGAGGATGCTGAGCTCTTTGCAGAAGAGGACGGGCTCTCTGGGATTCGGCCGGCGGCTCCTGATCAACGTCAGCCCTCCCTCAGTCGTCGTGCCCAGGTCCGACTATTTTAGCCAGTTTTCACACAAAATCCACCAGTTGAACGGCAGCGAATACAAAACGCCCCCTAAGATGGACGAGATCGAGAGCCGGGGCTGTGGTGAAAACGGCTTTAGAAACTCGCTGGATCAGCTTTCTGCTCTTGCGGGTCAGGACTTTGAGGCTCTCCCGGAGCCTCAAAGTCCCACGTCCCCCGACAGGCAGTCCTTAACGGACGAAAAACCAATCCTGGTGGAGCAGGTGACAGTCTGCTCCAGCGGCGCGCAGACGTTTCCGCCCAAAGAATCTCCCACCTCAGGTCATAAGAGCTACAGTCCTGCGTCTGGCTGTGGCATGGAGACTAACGTCAACACTTTGAGTGGCAGTGTTAGCAACAGCCAGGCGAGCACACCAACCCCTGCTGCAAATGCTCCAAGCGAAGAAGAGCAAAACCTTTTGCACAGATGCCAGCATTGTGATATCCGCTTTTCTGATAACATAATCTATACCATCCACATGGGCTGCCATGGCTACGAACACCCATTCCAATGCAACATCTGTGGTCATATGTGCATGGACAAATACAATTTTGCGTGTCATTTTGCCCGTGGGCAACATAAGAAGTGAAATAAGTACACAGAAATCTCATGAAATTGAAGTTACGGATTTCCTGCGCTTTTATTCTGATTTGTCACGTCAAAACGGTAAACCTCAATGTATTGCATGTTTTATTTTTTTATAGACTAACACAATGTGCTGCCTCAATTTGAAGTTAAGTGAAGACTACATGTGGTTTCATTGAATACAACACAGTCACTTCACCTCGTCCCGTTACCTTTCGTGGAAACAGAGCACTGTTCATTGTGTTACCTGACAATGAAAGAATACAACACAGCTGGAAACCAGATAAGGCTTTCCCCCTTAGCTGACAACCCGAGTAACTCTGGAGCAGCTGCAGACACTGAGAGCTCAGGTTGAAAGGACCATTATAGTGTAAGAGGTGCCTATTCCATGGTATGACATTGTGGCGGGAGCATGATGGTAAGGGCATGCTTTTCTTCAGCAGGGACAGAGAAAACAACTCAGTTAATGTGAAGATTGACGGAAGTAAATAGTAGAAGAAAACTAATAACTTGAGTCTAAATGGATGCTCACCTTCCTGCAGGAGATACAGCCAGATCCACAATGGAAAGGTTTATATCAAAGCATATTTATGTATTAGAGAACTTAACTCTAACTGAAAATCTATGATTAGACTTAAAAGCTGATGTTCAGACGTGTCTAACCATTCTGATTGAGGTTAAGCCGTTTTGGAACGAATGATAAAAAAAAATAAAATAAAAATCTGCCAGTCTCTTGATGTGCAAAGCTGCTCGTCATACTGCAAATGTAAGTGCACTTACAGCTGCACTTACTTGCAGCCGCAAGTGCAGCAACAGGTGATTCTCAGCGACTCAGAGGGATGAATAAAAATGAATACCACACTTTTCAGATTTTTATTTTTTTTTCAGATTTTCATTTATTTAAAAGAGTGTGTTTTTTTTACATCAACAGTGAGCACATATGGGTTGTTAGGGAAGTGGTAATTCTGAAATCATCTGTGGGTCTGACTTAGAGACTCGGGATCTAAGTCCCGAGTCAGGGACACATCATCACTCAGGACATTTCAAAGGACTTATCGGTTTTTGCTGTAAGAATTAGAAGGAATTTCTACTGTCTGGCTTCTTCAGAATATAGAGTACTTTCACAATATATTCTGCAACTTCATATTAATAAATTATTTTTGTTGTAGCATTAATCAGCAATAAACAAAACACATAATATTTAGTCTACCTGGACTGGAAGGATGTCTCACTGCTGAAACATGTCATTGTTTTGTTGTATAAACATAGAAATTTCATCTCAGTTTCAAACGCCGCAAAGTTTGTAACACAAACTCTGTGCTAGATTGTAAATGCGGTCGTGTATCGTGTTCAACGTCCCGTCTAAATTTGTCGACATTTTGGCATTTATGACAATTTAGAGGGGATCATAAGAATTTTACCAGCAACAGCTTAGTAAGCTGCTGTACATATGAATCCAAAACAGTATCTGTTGATCCAGCTTTAAATATACACTGCCAACTTACTGTTAAACGTTCAGCTCTGAAGTTTATAACGCCTTCAACTGAGTTAATCTTTTACTCATGTTTGATGTTCTCACAAAAAGTTGGAAAATGTCTGTTTTGTATCTATAGTTCAGGTAAAAACAACTAATTTAATGAAATAATTTTAATAAAACCACATATAGGAGACTAACAATCCCTCATAAATGCAACTAAAGTATTTAGTGTTTGTTTCCCTGAGGTATATATATGAGGTATATATATGATGTGACACAGAGGCTCTAAAAAGTATTTAGAGGAGCTTATGAATAGAATGTGTATTTCCAGTCATAAATTACTTCAACACGATTCAATTAACTTAAATGCAAATAATCAGTAAAAATACATTTTATTTGAATTTAAATATGTACAGACACCAACCATTCATAGTAATAATTTCTTTGACATTATCTTGAAAAAAAGATCACATTGTTTTGTGGTTGCTTATAAACTGTGACAGGATTTCGTTCTTTTTGTCATCAAAAATATTCACCACCTGCTCCACACTGATGTCCTCCTCTTGAAGGAAACACGTCTCCTGCAGGAACCGTTTCCTCAAGTCGTGAAGGAAAGTCGCTTTGCATTCGTTCAGCCGAGCAGCCAGAACCCGCATGTGTTCAGAAGGGACTTGATTTTCTGCAAATGAAGCCAGCAAAGGTCGTTATTATGAAACATGGAGAACACATATAATAAATATCAATTGGTGAAGTTCCCAGCTGACCTCTGGCAGCCTTCATAGCCTCAGATATCAGACGCCGACAGACCTGATCAGCCTGGTGGACCACACTCGTGGCACACTTGAGACGATCAGCTTCCTGCAACATCAGTATGGTGCATTTCTGAGAAATTGCTCACATCTCAACTTTCCATCTTTCACTTCCCGTTTTACTGCGTTTCACAGATGTGAGAAACTGCAACACACCTTTTGTTCGCTGTTGTCCTCAGCTGGGCTCAATGGATTGTCTAATGCCACAGAGACCAAATCCATTACTCTCTGGCTGATAAAAAGTCACACAGGAAGATAAACCCAGAAAAAAAAGCTTTATAAATCACTTTGTATTTAACAAAAAAGGGCCAAAAGCAGTTAATTCTGCTCTCTTACATGTCGGACTTGGATACATCGTTTGTCGAGTTGAGCGAGATGCTTTGGGATTCCCACGGGTTCTTTTGTGGATTCGGAAATTCCAAACGCTTCTCCATCTCCATGATCACTTTGACGGGGATGGGCTTAGGTCTGCTTTGGTTCCTCCTGATGCAGGTCTCTAAATCACACTGCAGATACACCTGGCAGAAACCCAGTGACACTGCAACCACAATGGACATGTTTGGAAAAAAAAAACAACAACCCAAAAAACAAAACACTTAAGGGTGCTGAGGAGCATGTTCTTTTGACAACGAGTCCTTACACTTTCTTGCAAGTTGGTACACTTCGTATCTCATGCTTGGGTAGTAGAAGTTGTCATCTAAAAGAAAGAGCAGCGGCATCCCATCGGTGTGTAACTCTTTAGGGTGCAGTAGAGCTTGAACACATGGTTGCCATGCAGCTCCATTGATGAGAGGGTTGCTTTGCAACTCCATCACCACTTCAGGCCGCTCCAAGACCTGCTCTATGCAATGCAACACGGCTTGTCTGTAGGACTTCCAATTAGTGTGCTATAAGGGAATAAAAAAAATACATAATCACTCATGAAAATCCGTATATTTAGAGAAATGTAAGTCAAAATGCACTTCTGATTTTGCCAGAGCCTTCAAACAGGTATTAATCACATGTTTCATATCGGTCTGTTTTAAATCGCAGATGTTTTCACTCGTTTTCAGTGAAAGCTAATAAAGACTTGAGAATAACGGTCTACCATGTCTGTCAGATTGAGGCCATCCTCCTCCACCTCGGTGCGATAAGCCTTCTCGGGGATCAGCTCGTCGTAGGACACCGCCGCTGCCCTCCAGCCGTGCTCCGCCGCGGTACCCACAATCCTGCGGGTCAGCTGTGACTTCCCGGCGGCAGGCAGTCCGCAGAGGACGCACAGACAGGCCGGAGACCCGCGGACCCTCCGGGGCGCAGCTTCGGCCATAACGTCCGAGAGCACCTGGCAGCAGACGCTGTACGCAACACCGACCGGCATCCAGTTGCAAGCGTCGCTCTCGAGCGCCCACCGCTCTCAGTCCTCTTCCGGTCTGCAAATATTTACCGTCATGCGCTAAAATTTAAACGTAAGCTGAAAATGTGCCGCCCCATCCCGGGCTTAGCAACAAACATCATACATAAGTCGTTAAGGAAACCATATTTTGCTTGTCGCTCTCACACCGGAAGAAGAACTGGACTGGTTCCTCTTTGCGCATGCGCACAGCGGAAGAAACGTCATGGACGAACCCGCAGGGGTTTTGAACTGGTAGGGATTGGGGCGAGGGGCTTCAAAAGTAAAAAAAACTTTGCATTTACTTTTTTGTCGGAAATGTGTGAAACGCGGTTTTTGCCCATGTTTATGGGCAAAAACAAAACAAACATGGGGGGGATTGAGAAACAAAAAACTGCATAAATGTGAAACAGAAAGAAAAGATGCAGTCTTTGAAAAAAAGAAATCTGCAAACAAAAAATCTCATTTAGCATTCAGGGCCTTGATATAATACTTTGTTGCACCACTAAAAATGTCACTAAAATTACATCTGCAAATCGTGTTGTCCTGTTGGAAGACACCCTTTACCTCAAACTCAAGTCTTGTGGTCTTACTCAGGTTTTCTTCCAGTACCACAGTAAGCATTTAACTCCGACCAGCTTTCATATGCATGATACTGCCACAACCATGTTACATTCAATGGCTCTTAAGAGTGGCTGGTTTCCATTTCACAAAGCACTTTAAATGATGGCCAATTTACTTGAGTAAAATTAAGATTCTGCACACCTTGCAGTGAAGAAATCTAACTTGGAAATGCAAAAACGAAATGGCTCACATATCTATTTGTCTCATCTGACCAGAGCCCCTTCATTCACGTCTGCTGTATTATAGTTGATCTATGGCAATCTGAAATAGATTTATCTTCCATGCAACAGTCTGGCCACTCTTTTTCCACACATGAGAAAAAATCAAGCGTCCAGTTTTCATTTTGCTTTATTTTCTAGTCTGTATGCTCTATGCAGAATTTTATTTCTCAAAACAGCTGATGAGATCAAATATACAACAGAGCAGAGCTTATATGCAAAAATGAGGTATCTACCTCAACATTATGTTGCATTGGCTAGCATATTATAATCTGAAAAACAAATCACATGAGCTGTTCAGAGTGAAAACAAACACTCATATCTGGAAATTTGGATAGAAAATCCACTTCAGATGAAAGAAAATTATTATTGGCACCCAGTTACGTCCACCCATTGTCTGAAGCTTTTGGAAAACCTCACCTTAGTGCAGACAGAAAGGGTGAGAGCTGGTGATGTAACAGAATTTCCTGCCAGAAAACAATACACAGGCTCTGTGTCTGAACATTTCAACTCTGAGAGACTTCTGAGGCACTTTTTGAAGATATTTGTTCAGATGAAAGGCAGCTCCGGCTGAGGACTCAGAGGCTGATCATTACATAAGGACAAAATAAAACAAACAACGAGAACTCTGTCCACACGTATAGATCGTAACTGGCCTCTGTCTGCAAGAGGGCACTTGTGAAACTGTGCAATGTTACGCAGCGTAGCAGACTACAAGTCTATGAGTGTCTTCGGTGCTGAGGCTACTGAATGTGCAACACGAGCGTAGCAATTAGGGTCTTCCTCCATGTTTTACTCAGTGACCTCCAGTGATGTTCCATTAAAGGATTGACAGGTTCTCTGCCTGGTGGAGGACGGGCCCTCCGCCGATCTCCGGCTTGTGAGCACTGAGGGAGAAGCTGGGAAGTCCCCCTCCTTTGGAGAGAACGATCAGGGTGTTCGCTGACACCCCTCCAAACTCAAAGGCAAAAGTCCCATAGAAGAACATGATGACCATGCAGTAGATCCACTCAAAGATGGCGGAGGTGTGCTGCAGGGAGAAGCTCTCCTGGCAAAAAAAAACTCCACCTGGTGATGGGAGGTTAAGGAGAAACAACACACGACCCCAGATCTGATGGGTAGGACAAAGCAAATTAGTTTTGTTGATTGGTTAAACCGAGTTATCAGTCTTAAAATGTCATGTTAACTGCTATCTGAGGCTGTGTTGAGATATTTCAGATCTTTTTTGCGTTCTGAGTGAAAACTGCTACTGTCACAGTCTGTTGATTAGCAGGTAATGTAATTTCATGTCTGATTTGACCTGTAATTTTTGAAAATATAGACTGTAAACACAGTCGACTTAAGACAGTTTAGGAGGTCACTAAACTGAAGCAAACAAATCAAAGAAGCAAACAAATCTAGAACATGTGTCTAAGAATGAAACCTTCTCTTTTAAATATAAGCATTTTAATTTGGAGGAGTTTCCAGCTGACAGACTTCAGAGATTTTTCAAGTGCAATAAATTGAAGATCCTGTGTGTAAAGCAGTCTCTTCTCCAGCAGAGGGTGATGTTAAATTACCTCTGAACTTGTGAAAGAGAGGTCAGCAACCTCAGAAGTAAGATTTTGCAAGTAAACAAAACCCTAAAGGCCTTCAGCGAACTGCTCAAAAAAATCCAAACTTTAGAGAAACATAATAACATTTCACACAGAGGATACTGAGCACCAGGGCGATCAGTGCAAGCAGAGCCATCCCCGCTCGTATGTGACCCATCCAATACTCCTCTTGGGTTTTGGCCAATCTGTAGGTTAGAGCCGCTTGGAAGCTCACAAACAGAATGCTGGATGGGAACGCCACTCCAGCACCTATATAATGAAGGACTTTGGCAAAATCCACCTGAAATAAACACAAATAATTACTAATCTGAGTAGAGGCAAAGGACAAAGTTTATTTTCTACAAACCTATTGTTCCTGAACCTCAGCTTTTTAATCACTGATGTACCATCTTCACTTGATAAGCTACTTGACCGTATGACCTGACGACAATACCTACAAGACACAAATCTTGCTTGTAACTTCTAAGAAAATTAAATGTTTCCTGCTAACCTGTCAATTACGTGTATTGTTTTAGAAAATGTTCCCAACGTGTTTAGAAAAAGATTGTCTGTTTCAGGTTATACACCAGCCCTCATTTGTTTTCACCTCTGACCCACAAATATGGATCAGCAATGTATTCTTGTCCAATCAAGATAGCCCTCTCACACGTCCCTATTGAATGATTACTGAGTGCTTTTCTAAACATGCTGACCAGAACCTCATTGCAAATACTCAAACTACAAGTGCTAGTCTGTTACTTTGCTGTCAATTGTGAAGAAATACATAGTTGAAAGTGCAAGAACAAGTTGGGAAAATTAAATCTGAACCAGAAAACTCTTTACCACAGTTGCATCCAAAGGTTTTGTATGGGCCAAAATCAAGTCAAAACTGCTTCCCGGATACAGAAATGTGTTTTTTTTAATAAAAAGTTTGCTTCAAACTATTGTACATACAATTTTGACAACAATGAACAGAATTACAATGACTCTGCTTGATTTTTTTTCACATGTATTTTAGTTCTAAATGTTAACTAAAATTGGAAGGATTCAACATATTGAGAGAGTAGGAATACTCTGTAGAAAATCTCCAGTTTGGTGCCCACGTCTAAATATTCTGTTACTTCTATATTAAAAAACAGTGGAAGTTATTGAAATTAGGTTTATGCAGTGAATGAAAATGAAACAGATGCCAGGATGGATGGGTAGATGAATGACAAACTAACTGATGAACAAATTTTGGGATCTCAGACTTTTCCAGATCCACTGATGAATAGGTCTGAATCAGTACTGTCCTAAGTTTTCATCCACACTTGTCAAGTAAAAAGTATTCAAATGTAGATTTTTTTTTTTTTTTGCTATGACACAATCTATAAATAAATCATGCGATATGATTATTGAAATAAAGGAGTCAGTGTTTTATAGTTGGATGGGTAGATGACTGCAGGTAAAAGAAAAATAATCACTCAGGGTTTTATATGATTGTCTCCAACTAAAAGGCTAATATATTATGTTTTTTCTTCTACTTTCTTGGTATAATTTTTTTTGTTTGGAATTTGACTAATTTTCATTGGGAATATTTGCATTAGCAAAACTTAACTTAAAAAATAAACAAAACAAAACAAAAAAAACCCAAATTTGCTTTTGAGTAAAAGTCATTCAATAAAAGTGGTCAAAAATACTATCAAGTATATGTATAAAAAGAAAAAAGCGTGACTATTACAAATAGTCACAAATGTTATTTTTACTAACATTTGCTATTGAAACAAGATTTTAATTGGTCAGTGAACAAAATCTCCTCCTCTACCAACCACCAGATATGTAACCCCCTCACATTGTGGTTGGGAGCCAGGAGCTACAACTGGCCCCCGAGCCCCACTTTTTCACACTTTTTTGGCCAGAAAAATCCCGAGACACTCAACACTGTAACATCTGAGTTAAGAGACACATGTATGACGCCTCAATAAATCTACCAGCTGCCCCGCACTCCTTACAGAAACGATGCTTTTTAAGATCCCACCCCAGCAAGGGTGTTTTCAGACTGAACAAACAGAACATGAAAGAACATTTATTTTGGAAGGTCTACAGAGAATGGACAATAGAGAACGCAAGATGGGCCCAGCAGTTAGCACACAGCAGAGTTTTCATGGGAACGTGATGGGAGAGCGTTATCAATCCCAGCGGCATTTAATAACAGCTTTTTGAGACGTTCAGTGTGTGATTGTTTTGCTGTTAAACTTCCTGCCTACATAGCCACCCATATCTTCTGGACACGTGAGCAAGATTTCCTATTATTCTTTCATTTGAGAGTCAAAAACTGATCACTATAATCCAAAGTAAATCATAAATCATGTTTTATGTCATCATCATCATCTGCATGGAATAGTTGATTCCATTTCTTAATCAATGAGGCGTGAAATCACATCATATTAGTATAAATATAAATTCTTATTAGAGACCAAAGAGCATATTGCTATGTACGATAACGGCACATCCTATTGGTATTTTATCCTGATTACGGTTGAAATTCTTGCCAAGATCAAACATAAATATCAAACAAAATACAGCACAAAAGCTGGAAGTGGTGTGAATAACTCACAATGAGATTACAGTTTGACTGGAAATTATGTAACTCCATAGATGTTCTGAAAATAAATGTAACTTTTATAAGAGTTGCGTTTGTTTTTCTCACAGCCACTCGTCACGGCAGAAAGAGCAAAAAAGAAAAAGGAAAAACCCCCACAAAATTCCAGTAAGACAAATGTCTGTGGTATTGCTACTGTATCTTTTAACATTCCATGCATGGATTCTGATGATCTCATATCTCATCTTCAGACATAAAGTAATGTATTTAATGTTTTCAACAGTCTATGTTGTTTGCAACATAGACTTTCAGTTATGTATATGAAAAGTCTACACATGCCTGGTAAAATAGTTAATTAAGGTAAATAAATGAGTGTTATGAATCCTTTTCCACATCTATCATCTATGCACTCCCTGAAAATAAAACATTTTTGATTCAGTTTCAGTATTCATGATGTTTGATGTTGCTGGAAAGTAAAATACATCTTAAGTTTTCCAACAGAAACCTCATGGTTTTCTGTAAAAACTGACCAACTTTAGTTCATACATTTTTCAACCCCGGCAAAAGTTTAGCTTTAATAACCCCAGATCATAATATCACCATCACCATGTTTCAGTTGGGGTATTGTACTCTTTTGTGCTGTGTAGTTTGTTCAAAACATATATTCTTGGAATTGTTGAGAAAAGAAACTTATGTTTGGTTTCATCAGAACACAAGAAGTTCTTCCACAATGTTTTGGGTGATTGTAACCAGATCTTGGATGGTCTCTTTGGAAGAAAAAGCTTCACTCAACCCTTTCTTGTTTGTCCAAATATATGGAAAATATATTTGGTGTAGAGCACAACCAGAACTACCCAGAAAATTCTGCAGCACATTGGCAGTTCTTGATTGAATCATACTGAGTTAGCCTTGTTTTCTGTCAATCTGGTCTCTCTACTCTTAACAGCTGACTTTTGACTCTCTATAATCTGCACACATATAAAAAAGTGCCTCACCAATTAGTTTACACAGTTATGCTACCAGGTTTTTAAGAATTTTATTTTCTTTTTCCATGTAAAAATGTGATTATGGTCTCATTTTTTGATTTGAATGTATCTTAGGGTTAGACCTCAAAACTATAATTGTGAGCATACTACCTGGAGCCTGTAGAATTCATAACGGGTCACCTAACCTAATCTTACTCTTAATTTACATTCAGTAAATGATAAGAGACCCAGAGAAACCTGTGTGCAAAGGAGAATCCTAAACACATATTCTCCCTCACTGTGCTTCTCTGGTAAGGATCCAGAGATAACCCTGAACTCCTAGGTTTTCGATTACCTGGAAGTTTCCCACCATGGCGAGACCAGCAGCACAGATCCACCCGGTGGAAAGGCTGGCCATGTTCAGAACACAGTTCTGGTGTTTCTCAATCACGTGAGCGTAACGCAACAGAGTGACTAGCATCACTGAAAAGAAAGAGAGGAAATTACACATCATTATATGATCACATCTTCTTTTTCCTAGGCACCTGGCCTTCTTTTCTTTTCTGTTTTTATTTTGGAAATATGGTGAAGAAATTTAGCCTCTGTTAAACACACTACACTGTCAGCGCCAGCTTTGTTCTTGTTTTTGTTCCTACCCTCCCCCCATGTTTTTATCTAACCTGCCTCTGCAGCGTTGGCTTGTTGGCTTAAAAAAAAAAAGTTTTGCTCAAAGCAACTCCAGCTTTCTCAACCTGCATGACATGAGCTGCGACAGAATTAGCAGTGAGCTCGTTGTTTTCTCCTGTGGTGTGATGCTGCAGATTCCAGCCATTTGTTTACCAAACAGTTCCATCAAAGCCTCACAGCAGCGTCGTCGTTCACATCTGGCGCTCATCATGCTACAAATTGCTCAGAGAGCCTGTTTGGACATTTCTGTTGGCAGTCCAACTGAATGCAGCGGTTAGCTTTTGATGATCAAGGGAACACTGTGTATGAAATCCATGTTTAAAGTTATGGATATTCTGAGCATTTCGAAGGGAAGTTGGACAGTAAGGCACATACTTTCTGATTTATAGGGCTTTAACAAATGCCATTCTTCAAGTCTGTATGAATATCTTTGAGTTAAAAAACAAACAAAAAAAACCCCTAACAGATACAAACTCTGGATTGTGTTTGCTATCAAGGAGGCAGGAATATTTTAATTCCTGAACAATTTACAAGACCAACAAAAGAAAGCACATAATTAACAACTTACTTTTTTTTGGGAAAAAAAAAGACTAATAAAAAATCAAAATGATCCATTCTTTTCCTTTCACATTGCAGTTATATAGTACAACTGTGTCATTCTATCACATAAAATCAATGTAAGAGTCAAGTTTGCGGTTTTATTGTCTTACTCTCTCTTCTAGAGACAAACTTTCTTCAAAGTCTGAAGAACATAACTAAAATTGTTATACTTTGTACCAGTTTGAAAAAAACCCACATTATACCCTTATTGAGTTTGTTGGCTTCGGCAGGCAACACCTTAAACATGTTATTTCCAGGTGCCGCACAACATTGGAAAGACCAGCCATAATTATATTCAAAAAGGAGCTTGTTCTTGTTGTATTTTGGTAATAAATGTATGAATCGACATCAGAACAAAAACAGAAGACCTTATCAAGACGCCGGCTGACACTGACAAGAAAGTATCAATACCTACAATGAATGACTTCTGTTCCAGCATGAGGTGAAAGGCTACTCAAAGAGGAAGAATGCATTGCTGTAAAAGCCAAATTACAACTTTGGTTAGCAATTGCACTATTGGAGCAAAATTGTATTTTTTTGGAGGACCTTTTCTGTGATACAAAGAGACTAAATTAAAATGTTTTCCCATATAGACAAAGAAGAAAGCTTTCAGACCTTTGAACATCAACAACTGTTTAGCATGAGGGTAGCAGCCTCATGTTGTAAGGTTTTTTTTTTAATTGCATGAAGGCACTGAGGCATTTCAAAAGAAGTGACAATGAGGAAAGAGCACTATGTGCAAATTTGGAGACGTCAGCTAGAAAATTAAAGCTTGTGCACAAATTAGCCTTCCGAACAGACAATGACTCAGTAGCTAAACAAGTTACAAAGTGGCTCAAGGAGAGGAAAGTCAATGTTTTGCGGTAGTCATGAACAAACCTGATCTCAGTCCCATAAAGCTTTTGAGCAGAGCTCAAACGGTGTGTTTGAGGAAAAACTGACTCAGTTAGGCCAGCTCCATCTGTAGTAATTGCACAAACTATTTTGAAAGGCTTCTGGAAGAAAATCCAAAACATCCGACCCAAGTCATTCAGTTATTTTGCAGCAACATTTCATTTATGTGCTCAAACGCTTTATATCTGATATCAAAATAGCATAATTGAAAATATATATACACTGTCATGGACCACCAATATCCACTGGTTAGGGACAACTAAAATCCGCTTGGCTATGTGATTAAAAGTCATTTTATGTGATCAGATGGGAAAAACATAAAATCCTAATGTGTTGATTTCAGTAAAAACTGTTCTCGGTCCTGTTAGGAAAATCCCTGTCACATGCTTCTGCCTCTTTGATATCAGAACCCCACTAAGTGTGCTCTGTAAAGCCCAGGACAAACATCGGTTCCTCCAAACTTGTACAACAAGACATGAACATGTGTGGAGCATTTCCCAAAAGCTTCTGTACCCTCTCAGCCAACTCTTCCTCTTCCCTGTTAGCCTCCCTTAAAAAAATCCATAAAACCAACATACACTGAGCACAATGGGTCCTGAACTCAGAGAGGACCACCCAAAATAGATGGTTTAAAGAAGTTTTGGCACACATTGGAATGGAAAAGCTGCCCCTTTTGTCCAGAGGGGGAATGTTTGTGGCTCATGTGGGGCATAAAAAAAAGCGCTTTTCAAGGAACTGAGTAAATTTTTCCCCCTCAGATTATGGACTGAGATTTGGATCAAGCTTTGGATTCTGGGGAGAGAGGAGCAGGCTGGAGTTGCTGCAGCTGGGAAAACAAGCTTGAACTTTTTTGATCTGTATCATCAAAAAAGTGGGTGTCTCTCTAATATTAATTGTTAAGACACTTGCCCATGAACGCTCCTGTGCTGCATATGAGGCTGAAGAAACAGCTTTCAGGTGGCAGAGTTCCACATTTACTGCAACAGAAAAAGACAGAAGCATGAGCCGACAGAAAAGCACTGTAGTTTAATGTCCTAGTTCAGTTGGACTCAAATTCAATCATAATAAGCAGCATTCATAAATAGTCATGAATTGAATCCCTTAGCTGCACTATAATACGATTTTAAACTTTTGCTGTTTAATGGTGATTTAGCTGCACTTCAATAACTTTGTGAGATTTTTATCAGGAGTAATATGTGAACTATGAACAAACCACATCGTTACTTTTGGAGGAAAAAAAGCTGGAAATGTGTCCAACATAAACTCCTTGTTCATTCCTCTGCAGGGGGGGAAATCGTTGTTTGCATTCTGCGGTGGCAATTCAAAGAGCGCTGAAGGATCTACTATTGGCAACATGAGCTCCATTTACTGTGGAGGTGAAAAGGTCCCTCTCATCTCAGTCGAGATCGACATTTAGGCAGATTTTACCCTCATTAGCCAAATTTCTTCATTTGAAAGGTAGGAACTCTAAATGATGAAAGGTCAGGAAATGAGGGGGTACTTCGAAAATTGCTGTACTAAGTGACCAGGCTGGTTATGTTTAACACAAGGTCAACAAAACAAACTTATCAGGATTTTAAATCTTGTATGTCAAGGCTAACATAACTAGGCAACATAAATATTTTTTTAGTATGATACAATGTAAAAATATTTTGTTGAAGCATAATTTTTTGCTGGGGGAGCTGCACACTCGCATGTCAGCATGTTCTCCCTCTGCATGTGTGTGACTCTCCTGGTACTCTTAGAAAATTGACACCTAGCAGTTTTTTTTTTCTTCTTAATATTTTTTCCAAACAAAATAATACAATCTGATTGCCAAATAAACTTCTAACTCCAACTTAATACTCATTTAATCCCTAGTCCTGCATAAAAAAAAAACAAGTGGAGGACATACACAAAGGAAGAAAGTTCCCATTTATTTTCATTTTTGGGGAATTAAAAGCAGATTTAAAATGACAGGAAAGCACACACTGCAAAAAAACCAACAGCCATGTCAGATGATATGTATGATTATTCACAATGAATACTTTCTTTTGTTTGAAAGATGCTGACGGAGCTTAAAAGGCTTTGTTTCCCCTTGGGTATACTTAAAATGCATAGCAGGACAGGGATTAGAAAAACCATAACATCTGCATGTGAATCCAACAGAGCCGAACTCTTAATGCAAGAAGCCTGACACCGCTGACCTGATGAGGGGTATGTTGTCCAGGGTACAGCACAGTTCAGGTCCTCGTTGTGATGGGAGCTGTTCCTCGCAGGACTCATTATACAACCTGCAAAGACACATGTCCATGTAGTCTACTCATTCAGTTTGCAGATAGGATTCCCTGAACAAAATAAAATATATTGAAAACTTTACAAGGAAATAATTTGTTGTCGCAGTAGTCTAATTCCAACCTGAAGACTCACCTGGTGTCAGTGATGAATCCCACTCACACACCAGTTTAGTTATTGAAGGACCGCATAGATGGGTGCTTGGGGCAATTCCTTTTTATATCCCACTTGGTCAGCACCATGAGACAAATGTCAAAACACACACACTGCCACCTCAGCGACTCAGTTCAACCAGCTGGGCTTCCGTAGATGGACAGCTTTATCAGCTACTTTTGTTTGTATTTGGTTGAATTTTAATTGGATCCAAATGAGAGTCTCATTATGTGCCTGATAACAATAAGAATCATCTTTAAATTGAGAACATTTAATCAATGTAGATAAACTACCATGTCGACAAACAAGTTTTTTGATTTGTTTTTTCAAGAATATCACTGGTGACACATCTTTCGCCATGGTGTCCCGACAATCATTATTTTGAAAAACGCCCTTTTCTAAATCGGGCAAATAAAACAGCGTACTAATAAGAGTATTGGTTTTGAAGAAAAAAATCAATGTTCATGTAAAATAATATGTTGAAATATTAAACTATTCTTCATGATCAATGTCAAAATCTTCATTGGGATTGCAGAAATAGAACTTCTCTGTTGTTTGTTGGCTAGCTTTTTGCAGGTTTCCAGTGGTGTTTCTTTTCTTTCTTCAATGTTTTTCTTCATTTTTGCTGGCGCTTTGATTATTTGCGGAAATGAGCTCCCCATTTTTGGGGTTTCCATCACGCTAATCTTTAATTCCCTTTAACAGATTTTCTATCACATTCAAGACAGTCACTCCAAACCCAAATTAAAAATCACTTGCTAAATTAAAACCAAACATTACTTCCAGGCATAAGTCACATGTTGATTAAACTAATATATTACTTTAAAGTTAAATTATTTTGGGTTTAACTCTGGATAATATGGAAAACCTTATCAACTTTAAAAGTAAAATAATTTGAAAAATGTGTGTTTTTATTGTATGACTAATTGTTGGGTGTACCAATAGTTGTGTCACTGGAAACTTTGCTGACATTTTTAGGCTTTTTTCATATAGTAGGGGAGCCAACAAGTGTTTGCATGCATTCATAAGACATCTGAAAACTATTCCAATCTCCTGTTATATTTTCACCTTAAATGTTCATTATAAAACCTTTTCTGATGCAAAATAAGTGAACAAAAGAAATGTTTGAACACATTGTTAATGATTAAAAACCGGCTTGAACATTTGTCACGTCACAGCTCTCATTTTGCTCAAATGACAGTAGAAAATTAACCAAATATATATAATTTGCCGTAATCTGTAAACCCCATCAACGTTTGACTTCCAAAAGCATTTTTTCTGAATTTCTCCTTCCTTCGGATTATAACTAACCCTGGAGAGAGGACGTGCTGGTGTGTGTCGAGTGGAGACTGCTCAGGAAATAAACATGTCTTGGGTGAAATGTCTACATTTCACAACTCATTTTCTCGGTTTTGAAAGCTAAAACCCAGGCTGCCTGCTATTCTGCATACGTTTCTCTTTACATGGGTGGATGAGGTTTTAAAGCAGTTTCACCATAGCATCTGAAACATTGGTCATTTAAAAAGGGTTTGTTTATCTGTATGCAGATAAAATGAGAGCAATTTTGAATAAAATCTAATGAGAGCAACCAAAAAGATAAATTAGCCTATGTGTTTCTTCCAGTAAGATTTGACAAATTTCAGTGGACGCTTTAAATGTTTTACATATCCAGCATAATTATTCTAACAATTATTATTTTTATTATTATTATTATTAGTGTACATGTTTATGTCCTTTACCAGTTGTGCACAGGGCAGACATGCTGGTTGTAGAGGGCCATCGCATATCTGTAAAAGAACAAAGAAGATAATATTAATAATAAAAAAAGTGAAACAGGAGAGCAAAAAGATTAATCTTCTCACTGCTTTGTTGTGTGTAATTCTGCTTAATTCTCTACCTTTGCATAAAATGCGACTAATGGCGAATTCAGGTCTACAAACTTTAAGTAAGACAAACACCCCGAGGCGCCTTCTCTCATTGGCTTTAGTCAAATATTGGTGGCTATCTTTTACCCAGCACTGTGACAGGAGGCAAGAAAATAGTTGTGGTAAAATTGTTCTAAAATTGAGGTGTAATTTTAAAGTGCACACTCAAAAAACCTGAATACTCCATCCTCTGATGTTTCCCCACTTTTACTTTATGCAATATGTCATTTAGCAACATAACTTTTTTTCCCCCAGCCTTGCTTTGTTACAAACTTCTCCATTGCTTAGCTTAAGTACTAATAAGAAATTTAGATTGTGACAAATTTGCTGCAGTTTCTTTTTTGTTTTGTTTTTTTACTTCTCTCAACAAAAGAAACAAGCTTCTAGAAAAAGTCTGAATGTACTCACACGACCCATATTCCTGTAATAGTGAAGACTGGTAGGGTGACAGGAAGGATCATCCACACAGACATGTCGACCATCGGCATATGCTGACTCCTGCAGGACCAATCAGGGTCCACCGCCGTGACTTTCAGGAGAAAAACATTTCATCCTAATTTTAATCTTTCTTAATCACACAACCAGAATGCACTTATGATACTCAAGTGACCTCAGATCACAAAATCATATTAAAAACCAAAGAAAATCTAATGCCGATCCCAACATGTCGATCACAGATATTATCCTGTCTTGATTCCTTTCTTGTTGAAAAATTTTATGGAAATGATTCATATAGATGACAAATGTTGACTCTATATAAGATTAGCTGTGGGGTGCCACAAGGCGCTGTGCTAGGTCTTTTGCATTTTATAAAATACATAAATGATATTTGATCATGCAGATGAAAGCATGACGTTGCTCTGCTGCAATTCTGGATCAGTTGAAAGCGAGCTGACAATTTCCAATAAATTGTTTTACATTAATAAATCCACGGAAAATCACAGTTGGGATGTTGAGTTTGGATAGATGCCACCCGAAATATCATAATCCAAAACAATAATACATCCCAGTAAAACATTCACGCACAAATCAGAGTAATATGGTACATAAGACAGCTGCAACCACGATAAACCGTATATTTCTGTACCTTTTTCTTTTTTTGCTTACTCAAAACAAAAATTCTGACATTTGCAATAAAACAATTTTTTTTTTAGAAAAATGTCGGGCTAATAAACACGACTTTGAATGCACTACCGAACATTATTTCAGCTTTCCACCTTTGTTCTTCAAATTTTTATAAGAACTGAATAAATGATATTTTATCATATCATAAACTGTTTATACTTTAAATGCACCTAAAATGTTCAGCGTTTTCCTCTACTTACTGTAAACTCTTGGGAGTTTTTTTTCTCAGTCAAACAAACAGAGACATCTGGGAATTTTTAAACTGTTTGTGCTACTTTACAGATTAAATGGATGAGGGATTAATCATGTAGGAATGCTGAAGAATGCAACTATCAAGCACAAGAAGATAAGACAGAAAAAGATCAGTGCAGCATGCAGCCACTTACTGAGATTTTGAATACAATGTGATAGTTACAAGTCTTTAGTGGCGATAATGATGTTTAATGACTCTTGGCTCTAATGAAGCTGTATATCTTTGCACAAAAACAAGGCATATCACATAAGTTCATACTCATTATGAACAGTGGACTGAAAGCCTCTTACCTTTTTAACTGAAACTGTCACCTCCAGAGACAAGTTCTGAAGTAACTTTAGTCTACTGAAACAAGTTGTCATTTCTTCTTGGTCAGGTCACAGGCTGTCTGCCATAATGTAATAATTTGAATTATCCTGGCTTTCTCAAATATTTTAAGGACTCACTGCAAACTAAGGGAAGTAGACTCTAGTGAAAAGGCGGTCAAGGATAAAGAATAATGAAAAACATTATGAGAATTATTGATTGAGATTGCAAAAAAGTCTGACTCATCATATCCAAATATTGGGACTTACACCATTCTCTTACACCCCTAACCGCCTTCCTTCCAAGTAACCCAAAATGTATAATCTGACCAGTCTACCCTGAATGCCTTCATGTTTTTCATTAGCAAAGCTCTGAGTTATGCTTTCCAGGTTTTCCTCCACGCACAGCTTCAGTAAACTCTTACCTTGTTCTCTTTATTCAAGGGCTCAGTCTCTGTGTCTCATTTCAGTTCTTCCTCACTGCCAGAAAACCTTGGTCCTGCCGGTTTCATTGTCCAGAAGTAAAACTGCCACAAGTTTGATGCCTTATCAAGATCAAGAATGAGGCAGCTGCTGGTCTCTCTTGTCTTCTTTCATCACTTCTTTCTGACTCTCTCCCGAATGTGTTGTGATCCAAGGAGGAGAGCAGCAGAACTGTGGTACCTCTAACTCCTCCCAACTACACTCTCTCCCCAGGGTAAATGGAATGTTATCGCTGGACATATTGACTCTCATTTTCATTTTATTTGTGTAAGGAAAGTGGTCAATTTCATCCTTTTTTTCCACTTTGAAGTGGAGGGAATGGACTCCAGGATCCAGTGGCTCTAAAGGTTCAGCACACCTTGTCCTCTTTGGACAATAGATTTCAAAATGGGAATCTGCAGCGTGTGTCTGTCTTGTTTTTGTTCTCATTAAGCCAGATCAAAATGGTCCTCATTAAACCAAAATGCTTTCTAGAGAAGTACAAATGCAAGTTTCTTGGCCTTTTCTCAGCTTTAGACTTTGTTTTTGGCCTAACAGAACATTTGAACAGACCGTGGGCTCTCTAACTGAGCTTTAACCCAGTTTCAGGGTAAACAGGTAAAAGCTAAAATGGAACACAACCAGGCAAATAGTAGATGCAATGTCACACTAACTGACAGTTCAATGTTGTGAAGCAACGATTAATCTGTTTACCAGTTGAAATAACTTCAAAACCCTCCATAAATGTAAAAAAAATAAGTTACATTAGACAAAAAAAAAGAAAGAAAAATGAAGCAAAAGATTACAAAACAGTTTCGCATAGATTCTTGAGTGTCTGGATAAGTTGCAGCTGCTTTTCCTCAACGTGCTGAAATACCCAAGGCAGTCACACAAGAAACACTGCAACGGAGTGGAGATAAAAAAATAAAGAAGGCGAACCAAACTTTGCACAGCCACAAGAGGGCGCTATGTACTTCATATACCGTCAAAGTGTTTAGTTGTGGAAACAGGCTTTCGAAAATAAAAATGTTTAGAAGACTGAACAAAATGTGTATAAGAAATACTTTAGAAAAGAAATATATAATTTATTTCATATTTTCGCAGATTTTACAAGTTAATTTCCCGGGATTTAAAGGTTACTTTTTTGGGGGGGAGTTTTGCAACTTACTGGAAACTTTAAAAACATCATTATCTCTAAGCCTGCAGGTTAGTTCTCTTGCAGTTTTCAGATACTTTTTTTAAGTTTACAGATGAATGTCATGGAATTTAAAGAATTTCTCCCCATGAATATAAATAACATTTGTGGGTACATTCCAAAAATAACATTTACTTCACCAGAACTTTTTTACTTTTCCTAAATGTTTCTTGAAATTTAAGGTTATCATTCCAGGACTTTCACATCCCTTTTTTAATCTATAAATTGCTTTTCCATGACTTATCGATTGTGTTCTTTGAATTTATGGGTAACAGTGCACCAATTCCCCATTTACCTCCTCAGAACTCTTTTTTTTTTTTTCTAAATCAATCCAGTTACATTTCTTGAGTTTTCAAGAAATGTTTAAGATGCAACAATCTTAAACTGAACAAGTTGTCAAGCAAACTTTAGTGGTGGGAGTATTTGAGAGTAGAAAAACAAATCCAAATCTTTGCCTCATCTCAAGTTGAGATCGTCAACCTGAACGCATTATTTCAGAAAAATACAAAGAACAAAACTGTTGCATAAGAAATGCCGCAGGCATGGATTAAAAAACCAGCTGTGATGCAGAATATGGTGGGCCACGATCTGTGGCGTCTCTCACCACAGCTGAGACAGAGTTTTGTCCTCCATCAACCCGTGGCCTCCCAGCAGGCTGTCTCTCAGTCAGGATGCTTCACTCTCTGATCGGGGACATCTGATGGGACTTCACAGAACACTTTGCTTCTATGAGTCAGAAAATCAACTGGATATTAATTTACTGCACAATGTTATCATTACTATAGTACAGGGAATCCAAAATGTGTACAGACGATAGAAAAGTGATAAATAACTTAATTAAAAACTTTTTTCCATATTTAATATGCAATAAGCCGGTTCCAAAAGTAAATAGACCCTTTCAATTATATGTACTTGTAGATGTTTTGATTAATTTAATCATTTAGTTACTATATTATTAGATTAATAATTTACAAGATGACCTAAAAGACAAAAAAAAAAAAAACTGAGTCTGCTAAAACAAAGATGGGTTTATTGCAACCAGAAGCCCTTTAACTTTATTTTTTCTTTCAATTACAATTTGTATGTTTCACAGAGATGCTTTTTTATAAGAGCGGAAATAATTCAATGCAAAACCAAAAAACATTTTCAAAGTACAAGTAAGTACATCAATATTTTTTTATAAAATGGAACGAGAACTTGCAAAACCTGCAAAACTGGAGCTTTGATTTTTGGAGTTTACTCCAGGGACAACAAGGCAGCAACATTTACTGTGAACAAGACTCACATTTAAGTCTGTTTTACATTTTTTTTAAAAAGTGCTTAATGATAAAATATTCCTTGTTTTCCTCACAGACTAAACTTAGGAAATTCCTTGGTGTTGAATTTCTAAGGCAAAATGTGAAACACCGTTTCAGGTTTTGGTTTAAGAGACAAAGCATAAAAGGCTGTGCAGTGCCAGCTGTAGCGAGAAACGTGGTCGCCCTACTACAGCCTGTCAGTGCTTTTGTGATGTGCATGTTTATGACTGCTTACTGTTAGACTGTCATTCTCTTTCAGTGCCTATCGCGCAGAAATTAAAGAGTTTGAAAGGAAGAGTCCAATGGTTTTTCTAGCATTTGTGACCTTATTTCATCATGTTAATGTGCTAAATTCACAGTTCTCCTTCAAAGCTTTGTCTAACAACACATTCCCAGAAATTTCTAAACTCATCTTTTAACACTCCTCATTCATTTACAGATATTTTAAGGTAAGAAGACAAATATAATTTTAACTATTAACTATCAACATTTGACATTTAAAAAAAAAAAAGATTTTGCACCTGTCATCAATATGAAAACATTTTTGTTTAGAAACACTTTCCAATGTGAAGGTATCAAAGAATGCACTTCCTGTATTGTATCATAGTGTACTTGGCAAAACATATGAAAACTTATGCACTTCATCATACAAGCTCACACCATATTTGCGCTATGGGCGTGTTCTAAAATCAAAAGCATCAGCACGGTTTCTATCCGTTTGTCAGACATTCATCCTGAATTGTCAAAGTGAAAACTCAACGGCCAAAAAGATTTTTTGGGAGGAAACACTCTAGGGAGTGTGCTAAAAGAAGCATCGACAAAGCCAAAATCATTGAGCCCTTTGAATTTGACCAGATATTGCACCATATTTTAGAATCTAAGTATTTATTTAATGTTCAATTAAAGTTTATTTTCTAAAATGTAGCTAATGTCTCAAATTCTCTAACCAGAAAAGACAAGTTACATTTCAACACCTAAGGAAATTATGTCTGGCCAGTAAGAAGCAAAAACATTTGGATAATATTTACCTGCGAGTATTTACACGCAAGTGTTTATCAGTTCGACATTCGTCTGCAAATGATCACAACAAAATTGGAACTGACAAAAAAAAAAATCTTAACTTGAATAATTTTGATACATTCAAATTTGTAAGTATGAACTTATTTCCTTCTTTAAATGGAAAAATACTGCATGCATTCTGAATAAGCAGCAGTTTTGCATAAGTGGGATTTCCTTGCTGACAAAAATAATTGTGATATTTTTGCTATCAGTGAGAAACTCTGGCTGTGGATGTTTTAGAAGATCAACATGCTGCTGTTTTTATTAAACACAATTTCCTCTCAATAAGTCTGCATCTTTTTGAAACAATTTTTCTACTTTGTCTTTTATGTGTTGAATATCAATTTAGACATTTCCTAAAATCTTACCAGAGATATTAATCATATTGATAACAGGTGCAACAGAAGGAAAATACTCTGAAAAATATACATTCTAATTTACCACTTCAGAGAAGTAAAATATCTACTTCACTAAAATAAAAATATTTTTACTAAAATAAAAATATTTTACTGTAGTGAAGTGTACTTCACTAAAATGGGAAACCATTAATTCTTTGGTCATGAATATGGAAATGTAAACAAAAACACTTATAATTTGTGTTTATCGGAGTCTTCTTATTAAAACGTATTTGATGAACTGTGCTTCAAATATAAACAAGCAAAGATTTGGACAGTGGATGGGCAAAATAGAACTGGATGGAATGGATAAGGTATTTCTGATCATTCATAGATTAAAGTAATTAGAAACAATAATAAATAAATTTGTGTTAAAGTTGTAGATTAAAGCTTTTTCAAATCATAGGTTACACTAAGGCTCTCAACTAACAAGCTTGAATAATAAAAAATAGAATAGAACATTTCATTAAAGAACATAAAATTAGTAAGTGCGTTTGTTCCCTATCTCACAGTTGTTATTTTTTAGTTACATTAAGGCCATTTTTATTACAGCATATGACCACAAACATTTGCTGAACACATTTCACAAATATTTGGCCATTACATGTTCATAGCAGATGTTGGTGGAGAGTCACCAAGGCAAAGTTATGAATCGAGCCTTATCACAACACTTTTTTATCTTCATCCTTGATCATTCCTCATGCTTTACTTCTAAATATTTATGAGTTTATATCAGAATGACCTATATGTTTCTCCTGCTCCTAGCTGTCTACTGTCACTGATGTATTGTTGTTTTAAGAGGCAGAGTCTAATAAAAGTGAGAAAAACAGTAAACAGTCAGTAAACTACTTCTAAGACATTACTCTGCCTTGGATCCTTTGTCTCTGGATGGATCCTTTACGTAGTTGTTGTAAAAGAAGGAAGCAAACAGCACCAGATAGCTGAGGTACATGACTGTGCCCCACATGATGTTCTCCATGTTGGAGGGACAGTGCACTTCATGCATCCACATGTACACTAAGCCTAGCACAGTCAGGCCCATTACCATCTGCAGGATCTGGGCCGTAGTGATAATCATGGCGAGTGGCCGGGGCACCCGCAGTCCAGCTGCCCGGGCCGCATAATATGTGTACATGATGGAGTGAACCATGTAGTTCATGGTCATGAACCAGCCGCCACCCGCCACCAGGTCCTTGTAGGAGAACCAGGAGTAAACCAGCACGGTGATGTGGTGGTACCAGTGCAGGAAGATGAGACGCTGCTTTCGCAGGATGATGAACGCCGTGTCTCCTGGGTGAGTCGGGAAAGAGAATTTAATCTGTATTTCAAAAATTATAATGTAAGAGATTATTTAACATTTCTTTCACAATTTAGATCTTTTTATCTATGAAAGCCTAATGGACACAATTATAAATTTTATTGTATAAAAATGGCAATTTTATTAAAGTGTCTCAAAGGATTTACTGTCATCTTGTCTTCTTTACAAAGTGCTTTTCTCCTTTTGAAAAAAAAAATTACTGTATATTTTATCCTTATTTATATGCTTTATAAAATCAAAATGTAAACAAAATTTGATAAATTTCCATTTTATATTTTTCTTTACTCGCAAGATTATTTCCATAGTTGCACAATGGAAAGTGAAATTTGTCCACCCTGTGCCACTTTTAAGAGCTATATTAGCACTGTTACCAAACAAAGTGAGCATTGCATATGCAAAGAAATCTAAAAGCAAAAATTACTTTTCAATATTCTTTAAAGTTCAGTGAAATTACTGTTTCACTTCATTAAATAGGTAATTTAATGTGTACTCACACCTTCTCAGCAGGGTCTACAACTAAATGGTGGCCATTTAGCACCACTACTATATTTGTTCCTTCTGACTGGCTTATTTTACAGAACAAAATAGGCCTTTGTTCATATAATCTCTGAATTTCAAAAACGTATTTGCTGCAAACAGAACCATATACTTCCATTAGCTAGTCATCAGAAGCTTCTAAAAATAAGTCTAGAATAATTGTTACTGTAAAAGTCATTTTCCAGAGATTACTTATGTCATTAGCTGTGCAACTTGGCTGGATGTCAGCAACATTACAGCACTGATGCTGATGGCTCGCTGAATTTACAGAAGGAGCAATGGCTTTTAAGTAGTAAACTGTGGAGTTAAGCTTATTGATTTAGCTAATTGAATGCATACAACTGTGCTTTGTGCAGATTAGTTTCTCAGAGCTGTCTTAACGTTTACAAAGAATTGTTGAATGAAAGTGGACAGATGTAAAACTTCTAAAACATATATTATGAGGGTTAAGTCACCACTAAAACTAAAGTATTAAAGTAATTCCTATGTGTTGTATTGTTTATTTTTCTTAATCTATTTATGCAACTCTATTTAAAACTGATAAAATGTAAAAAAAAATTAAATGAATAAATGAGACTTTCATAATTTAAACTGAACATCTCAACCATGGATTTTCAATTCCAGTTTCTTTATAAAAAAGAAACGTCCTCCAGTTTCAAGCAGTGGGAAAGTGATTACGTCTTTCCTACTTGCAGCTGAGGAAACATTCTTCATTTCACTAAAACAATTTTCTCACTCCCTGAGCATTTAGCTCTTTTTCTATAGATCAATCGCACCATCTGAGCCACAGATTCTCTCCAGGCATTATGAGCATTATAAATTTCCCAATTTGAGAACAATACAGGTTTATTCTATTCTACTGTATTGTAATATGTGCTATTCTACTGCTCCCTGAACTCCCGAATAAATGTTGATATTTTCATTTTGGAACTGGTTCATACCATTGTGTTGCTCAAACTCAAATTGACCATGCAGGGCATTCTGAATATAAAAACAAGAATTATAATCCAGCTTCAAACACAACATAAACAAAAATAAACAGAGGGAATCTTACCGAGCTCAGGGGCCTTGCTGATAGCAAAAGCGTAGGACCAGAACTTGGTGATGGGTGCATTGTAAAAACTATTGTCACACACAGACTGTTTGAAGCCGCTCTTCGAGATAATGTGCATCATGTATTTTCCAGTCCTGACCGCTCCGATAATACTGAATTGTGAAGAAAGAATATGAGAAAAGGACATTTTAATATTCGATTGAATACAGAAACTTTTATAAACCATAGAACACAGAATTACGCTTCAATATGCCATAAATAAACTATTAAGAAAACTTGTTTCGTAAAGAAACAATTTGAGAGAGCAGGAAAATAAACAGAGAATCTTGGATGTTTAACTGTTTTATGGCAGCAACTGTGTTGATGAGTAAAAGCTTTTAGTTCACTGCAGAACAAGTTGCACTCACCTGAAAATGGCGAGGCTCAGCGACCACAATGCCAAAGGTCGGCGCAGGTTCAGCTTCGGCCTTTCCCTCATGAAGTGTCTGCCTCCGAACACGAGCGCAGCATACAGGCCACAAAATATGAATGACTTGCTCCTGCAGAAAGGAAACAGTGAAAATTGTGGCTTTTTATGCATTCACACCATTAATTTAAGACACCTAAATACAAACCAGTGCACCTATATCATAGCGAATAAACGGCCTCAGGAAGACCAAGGAACACAGCAGACAAGACAGAGATAAAGTTGTGGAGAAAATTAAAGCAGAGTTGGGTGAAAATAATTTCATCCTAAACTAACAAGCCAGTCAAGGAGAGCCTTTAAGAAGTAGTAAAGAAGCTCAACTCTGGAGGAGGTGCAGAGATTTACAGCACTGGTGGAAAATCTGCCTATTACACAACTAATACACTCCACATTATACATTTTATCTTAAAATCTCATGGTCTATAGTTAGTTTCATACATCTGAAATATAGGAACTTAATATAAGGCAAAGTTGGTAAAAATAAATAAATAAATAAATCTGTAAGATCACCGTCCAGTAGGAGACTGACCTTAAGGATATAGCCAGAGCAATGGCATAATCATGTGTTAGACTGGCCCAGCCAAAGTCCAGACATAACACCAATATACAATGCTTTGAATTATTTCAAATTAATCAATGTTCACAGACTCTCTTCACCAGTCTGACTAAGTTTGAGGTATTGTACAAGGGAAAAATTGTAAAGATAAGATACACCCCAAAAGACTTTCAGTACTTATTATGTTGGTCTATCACATAAAATCTCCATAAAATATGTTTAACTTTGTTCAGAACGTGGTCATGGGGGTAGCAGCAAGAACACCTGATCCAAAGTCTAGGAAATCAAACATTTACCTCATCCACAGTTCAATATTCACATGTAGGAAGTAAGGTGTAAAGATCAGTGTATTTTTAACCTGGGCTTTTATCCAAAGGGCCTCAGAGAATCGACAGTCAGATGTTTGCCTTGTAGTTCTGCTTTTTTTGGCCTCTACAAGCCAACTGTTATGCAAGTTTGACACAGTTACTATCAGGTGATAATCAGAAAATGATTGGTTCGTGGAGTTTTTCAATAAATTATTATTTTTTTTTGTAAGAAGATACAGATTTTATTATTTACCAGGTGGCCCAACAAAAATCATTAGAAAATTGAAGGAAAATTCACTTATTCTAATCACATGTTATTGATCCCATACATCCATAACACAATATGTTTGCAGTTGAGCCAAACTCTTTCCATTTTCAGATGATGGATTAAAATTGAATCCATCATCTGCAACTTTCAGAAGCAGTTGGGTTTCACAAGACTGCTATTCTGGGATAGCAGCCTCAACAGGTGTGAATATAGAGGAATGTCACTTTTCAGATTTGGATTTGTAAAAGCTTTGGAAACCAAGCATAATTATCTTCCTACTTTATGAATAGTCGGTCTGCCACTTTAAATCCTAATGAGATTTAAAGTGATGTTTGTGGTTTTAACTTGACAGAATGTAAAAAGTTTCAAACTTCGTTTTTGCCCCAGGCACATTCAGACACTTGCAATATATTTACTTATGAATACTGACTATTACTATGAGAAAGACAGGATTAATAGCATACACTTAATCAAAAGTGCAAATAAACAATTTACTATCTAGGTACTTTTGTGTCCATCACTATGTTGCATAAGTAGAATAGCCATATTGGACTTCAAAGTCTAGGCTTAGGTAAACTTTGTTCATTTTTGTATATTATACATTGTACATCATATATTAATGTGAACTTTTCCAATGAGTTACTGAAGCAACATCTTGAAAAGGTTGAAAATTATTATTTCACTTGCTGAAAAATATAGGGGAAAGAAACATTTTGTCTACCTGAGAAAAACCTTCGTAATCTTGCAACTATCTTCTGGATTGTTATCTACCTCAAAAATGCAGCCAAACCTGTGAGACTGACAGGTCACTCTGTGGGTTCACCCCAGCTTCTCACATAACTTTTTCAAGGACCTTACTAAAGTCTGGGGCATGAGGAGCAGGGATGTCAAAATCATTTAGAGGTTGATATTAGAAATACTAGAAAAATAATTAATTATAGATATTCATTTGCAGCAAAATTTGTAAACTGACCCATTCTCATTTTCCCAAATTGTCTCACTTCTTCTGGGAGCAGAGCCCCAATAACAGATACTCTTAGCCCACATCCTCCTTGTAGTCGCTCACCTGATTAAAAACACAAACTCTACATGGAGGATATATCCCAGAAAAGAAAGATATGTCCCCTTCTTTTGGTGACGAGGCACAAGAATTGTTTGGAGGTAGTTTCCCAATCAGCCACATGGACGAAAGAAAAAACTAAACGTCCCTAAGTAGGCAAATTTAGTTTTTATCCAAAAATATATTCAAATTGAAAGAAAAATGGAAGAATGCATCTTCATCAGAGGTATATGTTTCCATAAAAGGACAGTAGCACTTGGTCTACTGGTTTTGTAAACAGGTAAGTGGCACTTTTAAATTATTTATTTTTAAATTAAGGCTATACTAATTCAGCTCCTACTCTAGCCCTAATCAAAGAAGCTATAATGTCATTGTAATTAATCCTGTGCCTTCAAAAAAATTTTTTTCTTAGTATTGAAAATGGCATTGAGTATATTTTAGAGTATTGTTATCAAGTTTCTTCTGAAACATCATTGCAGCTGCATCAGATCTGAAGACAAGGAACAAACTGATAAAGGAGAAGGCCTTTGTGTTGTTCAGGTGATACGTAGATGCTGATGGTGAGGAATGCTGCACAACCAAATAATTCAAAAGATGTCGTTGCAACACAGATAGTTAACAAGGAAGAACTCTAGCTGTGCCCTTTGAAAGTATTCACACTATTGTTTTACATTCTGTCACATTAAAGTCACAAACTTCTTTGGATTTTGTGAATGCAAAATAGAACGAGAATGAGATATGGTTTTAAACACTTTTAATAAACAAAGCATGCCCCTGCTTTTGTAATCCTGCCACCTGAGAGAGTGCAGTTCTATGCAACTACAGCTGCAAATTGGGTGTATGTTTAGGGCTGTTGACAAGGAAGGTGAACCGTCGCCTCAGTCTCAGGTTATATGCAGGCTCCAATAGCTTGCCTTCCTGAATTACCCTTCATCTAACTCCATCAACCTTTCCATCAATTCTGGGTAGGTGCCCAGTTTTCCTAAAGAAAAACTGGGCATGGGGGTGGCAGTATCATGCTGCTTTACAGTGGTATGTTTTACAGTTTTACAGTGGTAATGGCATCTTAAATGTAATTTGCAGTTTTAATTACTTGCCAACTTTTTATGCAGGTCAAAAATTAACATTGTGATCTCCCCTGATTATGACACGTTTATCCATTTGTTTGCAGTGTCCCACATGGCTTGTAGTGCACTGCAGTCTTGTAGCTTTTTCTCAACACTTTTCTCCTTTCCTCTTGGCTGTCTAGCTGCATATAGTCCTGATTTGTGGAGCTATCCAGTCAACAGACCCCCCCCCCCCTGATTTGAGGATTTCTGTGCTGCTTTTGGTAATGGCAGCGCCATATGATGCCATATTTGGTAATATGATGCTTTTCTGATCACTGAAAGTACAGTTAAGGTTTGTGTTTGTAATTTTTTTTTTAAATCATGTATCTTTGTCTTCCCTATTAGATTAATAAAAGTTTAGGTTTTTCCTACAGCATAACAAAATTTTAAAAAGTTCAAGGTGTGTTGAGTAATACTTTGCATCCTTGAAACCCTTGTGAAAAGGAAGTGCCTAAAATTGAAAAAAAAAATGCCCCGCCTTTACAAAGAATCTGTAAATGTAAAGTAGTGAATGTTACCGGTTTAAAAAAAAATCACAGCAATCAAGACCCATGTTTTATCTTATTCACGATACTTTTAAATCCACCCACCAGTTTTCTTGCATCCATTCCAGAGCTCGAGTTTCATCGAAACGTCGCTCAAAATCAAAAAGGTTCAGTTCGCTCTCGTTCATTTTCTTCCGCAGTTGAAGTTTTTTGGATTATTTTATCGACGGGGGAGGGGGTTAATATATTCACCAGAACTATAGTGTCTACTGAAAGCTACAATGCGGTCGCTGTAGCTTTATCCGGCTTCCTGGTTAAGTCCTGAAGGGGAGGTCAAGATGCGGTGTGCACGGATGAAGCGTCCCGCTGTCACTGCTGTCGACGCGCATAAAGCTAGCTTTAGGATATTTATTAGCCGTTTCCGGTTGAGACTTTCACAATAAAACACCACGGAGATGTCACAGAGCTGTTTCAAAAATCAAAAAGGGACAAAAGACAAAGGAAAACAATTAATATCGGATTTTTTTTACGTCGTTACACTCGTACGGGAAAATTACACATGATTTGATCTTAATATGTGTAACACAAGAACACACAACAGTGAAACGCACTTCACTGTACAGTATGTGGTGCTGGCTTTAATCTTTATTCTTTCGCGCTACAAAAAGCAATCCATGCCTGCACACATCTGCTCATCTTATCTTTATTGTCTTTTTTTTTATAGTGCAATCGTCTTACCTGCCCTTAAACCGAACTCACTCACTTGTATGCCCTTTATTCAAGCACATTTATAAGAAAAGTTTGAGCAGCTCTCAAGCGTCACAACGTCTGTTTCATCTGGGCATCTTAATTAGGCGTGGTATGCAAAAGCCAAGTGGTGAGACCAGTTCACAGAGGTTTGTAAAATTAAATTGTCGTACTTAAGTTTTGCATGGCTAAAATGAAAGGTTCCTCATTTGCCAAGTTGAACTATTAGAATTGTCAACAGCCCAAATAGATAAAATCAAATACTTAAAAACTCTTTCATTTTTAGACTGAACACAGATACACGTGCATAATTTTGGTCATTCATTCCAGAAATTCCTGAAAATGAAACAGACAAGAAACAAAACATCAAAGAAGTTCAGGAAATAACTTCAAAAGGTTTGGTGACTGTGTTTCTAAGTAAGTGTAACCAGACAGTGTAAAAAAAAAAAAAAGGTTCGGAAGCAGGATCCATTTTACTTCTGTTTTCTTGAACACTTTCCTTTTAACTTCCATGTTTGCTCGACTTTCCCTTAAGTTTGTTTCTCCTACAAACAGATTGAACAGTTTAGTTTTAGGGCCCCAGTCCAATTAAACAACAATCAGAGCAGCAATTTCTCTTTTATGTTTGTTTAACATTTGTTGTCTATATTAATTTCTAAGTTAGTTTACATACTTGTATACAATACAAATTAAGAGCAATCCTCACTGTACATTTGTTTTTTTTTATTCGCTTTTGACTCTATTCTTTCCACAGTATCTCTTTTCATTTGTGATAGAGGTGGAAACATTTTGAGGCTTTATAAAATGTTACCTTTCCCCCGAGAGAGATTAGGTTTTCTTTTTTTCCTAATGATCTAAGAGGTTTATTTGAAGAAACAGATTCAGTTTTATTTTACTAATTTTTTTCTTTATTTTTTTGTTCCATCATCCTGTAGAGAGAACAAAGCTCCATTTTACATCTTAATAAGCTTTTGTTGTTAGTATTTATTCCACTGATCCCTCTGCCTTCTTTCACTCTTTCATTAATAATCGTCTTCTCCTCTGCAGTGATGTCATTGGTGTGAGGACGACAAAGAGGATTTGGAGATGAATCATAGGCAGAGTGATGGACGGCAGATGAAGGACAGTTTACAAATGAAAAATGTCCTACTCTAGGTAAGAAAAACAAACGAGCTACAATGATGAGCTTCAAAACACCAAATACAAACTCACAGGACACTACAGTGTCATGTGGAAGTAGGAGAAATGCACATGCAATGACATAAATCAACATCATACAAGGGAAATTTACAAGGTAGAAGGGTGATTCTGGCCTCATTAGAAAACACAACCGTAGAGGTACAGTGATAAATTGTGATAACATGCCAGTTTTTGAGCTGATGTCAAAGTGTTGATTTGTGCAGTATAAAGGACAGTTTTATTTTGCATCATGGGGCTTTGATTATTGTTTTTACGCTTAGCAATGGCAAGCTGGTGTCTGCTCTCTACAGGATTCAGGTTCGGGATTTTATGTGTTCGGATGGAAGAACCCTCTTAAGATGTAGCATGAGGCACCGAGGCACGTGAAACGGGAGCCCACTTGTTTCACGGGTCTGTCACTTAAACTCACTGTGAGGCCGCCTTGCTTGCGTAGGTTTCTTGCTTTTATCCGTTTTCAGGACAGAAGAGAAGAGAGAGAAGAGAAAGCAAAAGAACAGAGAGCAGGCATAGATGTTCTTTTTTGCTGGTGGGGGAGTCACGGAGCAGATCTACTGAGTGAAGTTGTAAAAAAATCTAACAGATCCTAAACAAGCAGATGTTGTGTAAGAGTTGGAGAGTCCAGAGTCAGAGAACATGCTTTTTTTTGGTCACTTTTTTCTCTTTTTCCGATTTTTATGTTTGTTACAGTTCATTATTTTGGTTTTTTGTTTAGAACAGTTCCATTTAGAGGTTTGGGATGGAGCCTGAGGCAGGTGGTTGGAAACACTCGGCCCATAATGGGAAGGCTCAGATGATGCCATACTGGGCCAGCTCGTGCAGCTCCAGGTGGTTGAAGGCCTCCCAGGGGCAGATGACGGTGATATCTGGTGATAGAGGTGGAAAATATGAAGTTGTTTAAGCACCTTCTCAATAGCTGAACTGTTCTGATTTTAAGTATTTCTGTAAACTTACCTGTGCCCAATCCCTCCATGCCAGGAATGTCATCTCCAAAGCTGAAAGAACACCACAGGTTACACTTCAAAGCATGCATCCTTTTTTTTTTTTTTTGTAAGACCTGAAGGAGAAAAATCTTCAGTCGAGACATACCCTTGAATTCCTTTCTTTGGAGGCTTACTCTTGAACTGTCGGGTCTGCCGCTGCTTGAACTTGGGCGGGCCCTTGCGAGGAGTGGCAGGGCCTCCGGTTACACGGGTGGCTGATTTGATTTCAGCTTTGGGAGGCTCAAGATTCATTTTGAGCACTCTGAAAGGACGTGTGCAGGTAAGTCTTTGGGTTTCTCAGAAGTGAAGCTGTCGTGATGAAATCTATGGAAGTAGAACTCATGTTATGATTTGACAGAAACTGTCAACTCGGTCTCCTTTCCTGCCTCCAAGTCCAGTTTGATTTGATGTAAGATTTACTGTCACCTCTATCTGACATTATCAGCTCTAATCCTCTTATGGATCTGACGCTTTCCTGTAACTGAAAGTCCTTGGGGGTCCACGCCGCAGACTGTCCACCAAAGACGACCCAATTTCCTCTAATCCCTGGCTCAAGATAAGATGTTCTAACCCTCTGCATTTCAAGCTGGTTGCACTCATGTAATCCTGTTAAAACAAGGACGACTGGCAGGAATTGCTGAGCTGGGCACTGAGGGTCTAATCGAACAATCTGTCCCTGTTACAATGACTGACTAATGTGGCTCTTTACTCTTAATGTTGCGGATGGATTGCAATAAAAAGGTGCAGAATTTGAATGTCAGTCCATAATAGTAAAGCTTATATCAAAGAGAAACCTTTTTATGATTTTACAAATGTGCTTTGGGACAATTTTATGTAATATAAGGTGTTATATATTGTTTTTGTAAAATACCCTGAATAAATAAATACATTTTGAAAATAAAATATGGTTTTATGTCTTTGCTGAGCTGTAAATGCAACACTCAGTTTGCAATCCCCCCCCCCCCAAAAAAAACAACTGGTACATCAATATTTGTATTTTTACAATACATAACATTTTTTCATCTGGAGAAAGCATTAAAATTTCCACATGCTATCTTCTGTCTATAAATATTCTAATAAAACGTCCAGTTTATTAGATTTATTAATTTAGTTTGTTAGATTTATTTCATTTGTGTAGTACCAGTTCAGAAGAAAGGACAACCCAAGATACTTTACCATAAAAAACAAGTTCAATTTATATAAAACCGAAAATATATACAATTTAATCCAATGAAATTCAAAGACAAAGACGGTGTGAAATTAAATGAGCTACATTCTAATTCAAACTTAAATATGACAAAGAAAAAACAGTACAATTAAATGTATTATATCAGCTGGTAAAATTAGACTATGTTTTCTTAAAGTCTGATAATTTCATAAATTATCTGCAAATAAGAGATAAATGTGACTTCCATTCATCCACAGATCATCCCCAGTTTTCTATGCTTAAAAAACCCACCTGACTTCCAATGTACTCACCACCTGATTGATTGAAGCACAGCCAAACGAGTGGATGTGGATGCAGCACTGCTCAGTCTAGCAGATGAGTGGACTTCTATGCTAGGCTTGCTGTGAGGGCTCGTTTGGACCTCAGGGACTCTTATAACCTGACTCCAGCGGGCGATTATGAAGGCGCCGCCTCCAGACTCTCATGACAACATATCAATTTTTAGGGCTTGAGGTAAACTGAATTTTTCTGGGTTCAAATACCTTTTTATCTTAGCGCAGTTTTGATTGTGTTTTGTGAATTTTCATGTTACTTTGTACACTAAATCTGTAATGACTTTAACCGAACACTTCTGCCTCTTGTTACAGAAGAGTTAAAAGGGGCTCATCTACAGTCAAGAAATCTGTCAAAACCTTGTAGTCTCTGGATTATATTATCATTTCTATAACATAATTTGCTGATTTTTAAAATGCTTTTTTTTTTTATGGCTTTCTCCCATTTTCACACGCTGTTATATTTTGTAGGAAATTTTTATTAAACTTTAAGTTCCAGAAATGTCTCCAAGGGCTCTAGAAATTTCACGTCAACACTGGGACAGTAATTAAACTACTGACCGAAGACAATGAGGATGCAGGACAAGATAACACAGACCAGATTATGTTCATGCAGATTATCAATGTCACAGGAAGATTACTAAAGCCATCAGAATCTTCCCTGGCTGTTTGGAATGCAATTCTCCAACATCTGCTGTGTTTATATAGAAAGTTTTCCCAACCAAACTGGTATTATTGCGATTTTAAAACCAGTAGCACATTTAGGAAAAAGTTTCATCTCCTACCCTAAGAAATACTCAACAATTTAGACAGACGGAGAGGTCGCAAATTAGAGGCAGATAGTACTTTATTATCCATTATTAAAAGAAAATAAAAATGCTGTAGCTTTCACATTCTATGTATGAGTTGTTTTTTTTCGGATCATCTATAGATGGTCTACAGTGTTATAGATGGTCTATAGTGCAAATAGACCATCTATAACATACTATTCACTCAACAGACGTTTGACTACAGCAACAGAAAATAAATAAATTGAAAGATATTTTTACAAATAACATTCTTCAAAATGTTTTCAATTGTATCAGACATAGCAGTCGACAAAAATGAAAACACAAAAATATTTGAATCTTTACTTGTTTTATTCATGTGCAAGCTAAGGTTAGCAGTGGAGCTAAACTAGCAGTTAGAAGTTATTGTGCTGTATTTGTGTTCAGTTATGAGAGAACTTCCAGATTTGTTATTCAACTATCTAACAGGAAGCTTCTTAAAGTTGGAGTTTCGACAAACCCTGACCTAGAAATTGGCTACCACTCAAATAAGCGAAAGTGACAATAATAAACAGTTTACTTCTGACATCATGTGTCCTAGTACAGTAACGGCAGACATTAACTTTGCTGAATGGTTGTGGACATGATCTTTTAGTGGTTGAATTCATCAAAAGCTGAAAAATATGTTGTCTTCTTGCACTGCTAATAGTAGTTAAGATTCCTCGATGAAGACAAGTCAATGAAACATCTAATAGACAATTGTGAGGGTCTTTACCAAATCTGATTTCTGACTTTCAGTAAAGGACAAATGATAAAAAAGTAGCAAAGAAAACATCCATGATTCATTTTATTTTTGCAATATTGTCACTTTGTTACTCTGGCTTTCTCCCACAGTCCAAAAACATGACGGTCAGGTTATTGGTCTCTCCAAATCGTCCTTAGATGTGTGTGTGTCTGTAGTGCTCTGCAATGAACTGGTGATCTGGTGTACTGCCTCTCACCCAATGACTGCTGGGGATAGGCACCAACCCCTTTGTAATCCTGCAAGGACAAGCAAGTAGACAATGGATGGATGAATGAATGTTTCTTTTGTTTTGCTCTGAATTTTTTTCCTTGCCTTCAGGCTGTCTGTGCAGCTGACTTGAGGCCTGCTCTAATCCCTTAGCAGGACGGTCAGAAGAGAAAATATGTTTGACTCTTCTTTGTGTTACAGAGGTGAATGGATTGTGTAAATAGAACACTTATGTCAAATATAAAAATGTACATTATTCTTATAAATAGTTTATTTTTTTACACTGCCATAATGTGTGAAACCCTTTAATCCACCAGGACAGAAACAAAATATTCTCATATCTCAAATGTCTAACAAAATCAGAAGACTATGTCAACCTGTCAAGGTTGTGGTTTTATGGTATCAGTTCAACCAAATCATCTGCAAAAAACATATAATATACCAGTAAGTACCCTTGGCTTTTAAAGTTACTGACAAGCCAAGATCAAGACAGGGGCTTTTTTATTTTTGCAATATTGCAGGGCCTTGATCTTGGCTTGGTCTGTTTCATTATACAAATAATTTCTCCATTTGAACATCTTGAACTCTTCCCATATCTCTGTCATTGAATTGCTGGATGACCAAAATTGTAGAACACAACTTCAGATATATTTGTTTTTATCTGCTAAGCGTTAAGTTATTTTGTTGCCAGCGTTGAAGTTGACAACAACCAAACGTGAGAGGATTTTAATTATTTGAAAGCACATCCACATAGATTTATGCCATGTAATTAACACACACTGCCATGACGCAAAGTGAAACTGGAGCCTCGGCATCAGTGATAATCTGTCTTGACTTTATCCGACACTGACAGAGTCATCTAGTTCAGACTACTGTGTATGACCAATAAAATCCGATGCATAACCCTGATCAGGGCATCACTGTGCAAGGCAGAAGCTGCAGCACTGATCACTGTATTATTAACACCGTACAACTGTATTGTATTACTACGCTAGTGCTCACTCAGACTCAGATCAGGGTCACCGTTACCTTGGTGATCTGGATGTGATGCGCTCACCAGCCAAGTGGCTGACAGACGTCAATAATGGCATGTGCCTCCATCAGTCCTCTAAGTCTTATTAACATCAGGAGAACATCAACACTTGGAAGATAGATAGCCTATTCGAAGTGCAAGTCAGTGACACAGAAAGGGTTTTCAAAAGTTAAATGTGTTAGAAGCTGGATTTTACAAGAAACAGCAGGGAAGCAAACAATGACAAGTTAACTGAAGTTAACTTGTCATTAACTTCAGTGAAATTATTGACAAAAATCCAGAAAATATTTCAGTAGTCAGAAAAACTTTCACTTGGTTTAGGACTCCCTCTAGCGGTCACTGATATGTTTGATTGTTTTGTAACCTATCAGAAGAGCTGTATAGATGCACTACTAAAATTTTAAGGCAGGGCATCATGTTTTAATTTATTTGTATGTTTATGAAGAATTCTATAGTTTAAACTTTTGGGGGTTCTCTTATTCTTATTTGTCTCCTATTTGCTCATATTTAAAAACTGAACCAAGTTTTGCTGGCCATAAATTTTTATGGCCAGCAAGAAAGGCTGAGTTTATGGGATAACTCAGCCTTGTTGTTGAGTTATTTCATAAATATGAGACACACACTGCTTCAACATTCTTCAGGTTTTGGCTCCTTGAAGATAATGTTCCGATTTTCAAGCAGGCTTATCATAAGCTACGGCCAATCAATATCTTGCTGAAAATTACTTTAAAAAAAAAGATTTGCTTCTTTTTGGGTAAACAGGTTAGTTTCAAAGATATTTGTGGGTTAAATATCTTTGAGACAAAAGAACTGAGATGTATGTAAATCTCCCCAAATATAGCAACATTACTCAGTAGTCATAAGCTTCCCACAAAACGCTACTTTAAAAATTCTAACATATCCCTTGAATAAAGCTGACTGACATATGAATGACCATGAGAAGATGACCAGCTTAATGTTCATAAGCCTCAAGTTCGTGGCACATTTTCAAACTTGTGAAAATACCACAGAAATACAGTCCCAAAATTACTCTCATCATTCCCACAGTCATAAAAACATTTCACTCAACTTAACTAATAATTCAGCGACCACTTAAAGACTCAATGCATTATTATACAGTTTCTCAATAGTTATGAAAAACATTTAAACAAGACAGTGGCTTCTGTTGTGTCAAGATGTTATAGAAGACAGTGAATTCCACATCACTGATCCCAAATTACACTCCATTTCCTGTACATCAAAAGTAGCACATGTACTTCAAAGAGAGGACTTCCACAATATCTAAGTGGATCTCATGTTTAGACACATTTAATACATTGTTTAATGTGTTAAATCAGCATACATGGCAAGATAGAAAATTGTGAGGAAGCAGCTTTTAGATGAAAACTCCGTCTACTGTGTTTCGCAACCACTTCTGCCAAGTAAAGCTACGGCTGACCATGAAAATGCACTGACATTTCCTGTTTTGAGGTTAGAAAGTGTGCCATTTTTGCAGCCGTCATGACATATTTCTTGACACACACAGCTCATGTGAGAAAACCCTACCTGTTCACTTGCACAAGTTATTTTTCAGCCTTTTTACTGTTTGAACTATCCAGATAGTTAATTTTTTTTTTGTCATAACTGACCAGTTTGTTTGGCTTTTTGGAATTTTTCTCTGTGCACAAAAGGGAAAAAAACGTAGGAACCCTTCAGTTAAAATAAATAAATAGAACAAACTTTAATGAAAAAAAATCTCTGAGAAATATACTAAAATACAATATAATAAAATTACAATAAAATTACACACAGCTGATTTTCAAAAAAAGTGCGTTTGTGAATTAAAGAAACTTTCCGCAGTAAAAACTTTACACAACTTAGAGAGAAACATGCATCATCATCAAAGGATGTTTAAACATTTTCTTGTCAAAACTCTGTGGCTGCTTGCAAAAAAAAATAAAAAATACAACAGAAGTTACTAATTGAGCTTATATTAAACCCATAAACTGAATAAAAATCTGACCAGATGAGAGCATGAGTGAGAGTCCATGGAAAGCATCACGTCTTTTTCAGCAGTTTGATCTCCATCGTAAGATATGCCTTGAGATTCTCATCAAGAACATTTTCCTCTATGGCAGCGAGCGCTCTATCTCCTCCATCATGATAATATGCCAGGAGCTGCTCCGCATGTTCAATCCAAACGCAGTTATGACAACCACTCATGCAGCAATGGGTGGGAGCAGGTGGGGGTCCTTGCTCAGGAGACCAAGTAGAAGAGGAGTCTTGGCTCTGATCTAAGGAGGCGCTGTCAGCCAGGTCCGTCATTGCAGAAGGAGGAGAGGATTCTGGTCCGGCTGGCAAAGAGCGAATGATGCCACTATGAAGACAATGTCTCCATAGATGTAGAGGACAGAGATTGAAGCGATGAGCTTTCATGTGTAACAAGGATACAACAAAGATCTGGAAAACACAAGATTGCTTGAATTATTTATCAGGTTTTTTTATTTCAAATGTGAGGAACAGTAAAAAAAATTCCAGCAGTTTATTAGTTGATTACAGATAAAATGAACCAAGTCTGACTTTTCAGAGATTAAAACGCTGTAAAATGTCTCCATAAAAATATGCTCTGCTTTTCATCTAAACTAAATTTAAAGGCAAGATAGACGACTATGATTTTCTCACAAACACTACTTTGTTTCTTTGGCCAAGAAAATAAATTACATACATACATACATAAAGCTAGTAAATGTATCTTAATGAGATACATATAACTTTCAGATTTTCTGAAAAACTGAATTTTGGGCTTTATCAACTGCAAGTCAACCTTTATTAGTTACTTAATTGTCTAAGTATAAATAGGATATACATTGAATTTATGTTTACATTTTAATCTCTCTGATCTTAGTTCATATTTCTGTGTACAAACTGCTAATGCTAGTCTGGCAAGAAGCAAACTTCACTGAAGTGGAAGATTTATACGTTTCAGGCACAATTCTTTTGAGGTAATAAGATTAGCAATAAAACAGTTTTTGCCTGGGAAAGTGAAAACTGATGTAACTGAAACGTCACTAAATTGATTCTAGTATAACAGTAATAAAGCAGGTGTTAGCTTAGCATCCAACCTTGTGTAAAGACAACGTCGACCTCCCGGATTTAACCCCGAAAAAGAACATCTTCTCGGTCTGCGGGTCTCCCGGTTACATGGCTGTTGCTTTCATTTGCTTTTATCCGCCCTTTCTATCAATCTTCTCGCTTCTGTGATTAAATAAATTCAGTATTTGGAACCTAAGAAAAAACTGTGGCGTCACTTCTATTTTCAACTTTCACCTTTCACAAACGCTTGTAAACACAAGCTTTGGTTGGTCAATAGAAAATTATATAACCAATCAATTTCTACTCCTTCATTCTTTTTAACCAATGGGCAACTTGAATCGGTCGATAGGCGGGCTGAACACGATAAACGCCACTTCTCTCGAGTGGCCGCCAGATGGCATCATTTCCACATCTCAATTTATGCTCAAGTAAAGATCAAATAGTAACACAAAAATATCCAAATCAGCTTAAATGTATTTTTTGGATTTGTGCGACTGAGCATATTATGTAAATCATATATAAATACGATTTGTATATAAACAGATAAATTTTTCAAACCTATTTTCAAATATGAATAAGTGATCTACATCACCAAAAATGTAGTCAGTTTTTTGACAGAGATCATAATACATATGAGCTTCATATTCTCTCATTGCCATGAAGTACGTAGCAAGTGGCACTAGTTGCAGGGAGCTGAATACGTCTGAATATGTCTGATCAAAACAGCATCACTAAGGTCGAGACAAATTTTTTTATGACTCGCTGTCTCATATATGTAGTGTTCTTTAGATGCATTGTACATTTCATTCTTGTAATTACTGTCTTTAGTTCTACTTAAACAAACTCAACATAAAAAAGATTTTCCATTTAGGTTGGTTATCATTCATCCTCTGCTGCTTTTTTTAAAATTATTTTGCCTTGTTTGAACAGAAACACAGCTTTCTGAAGTCTGAGGTTCCATTCAAGACTGCTTTTCTCAATGAAACTTTCAAAATGTATGAAAAAAATATAAATAAAAGCATTCAGTATGTGACTAATAAAAAACTGGATTCTGTTGTGGTAATCTTTTGAGGCTACTACTGCACAGAAAGATGTAGAAAATGGGCTGAAATTAGCAGCAGTTTTGTCCAAATTGGTCATATTGGTGTGAAAAATGTGTATTAACCCCAGAACAAAAACTAAAGTTTGAGCTTTTAAGAGCCCATGGTCTTAAAAGGCCATGGGCTTTTAAGACACAAGGCTTTTCAGGCCACTAAATTATTTATAAAGTAACATTAGGAGAAAAAGTCAATATTTTGGGTGTGACCATCACAAAACCCAAATAAAATGGTGTGTACAACCGAAACACCCTAGAAAACTGGTTCAGTCTAACCAGTTCTGCAGGGAGAAATGGGCAATATTTCCACAAACTGTTGTGGGAAGCATGCTCCAAACATTTGACCAAAGTCATACAGTTTAATATCCAATTCTACAAAATAATAAGAAAATAGTAAATATTGAAGATTACTCAAAAAAGATTTAAACATTCCTGTGGTATGGACAAATAATAATAAAAAACTAACTCAATGATTGGAAAAGGGAAAAAAAAGCTTTAATCCTAACTAAACTCAGACAGGGATGGGGAAGTGGCTATGTGTGTTTTTACACAGTGTATGTAAATGTCTGCTTTGTTGCAATGAAAAAAAATTGCTGAGGAAACTGCAGACCACATGATGGTTCCAGTTCTGATACAGGAAAGGGGAGCTCCACAAAGATTCTGTAAAGAAAGTAGAAACCTCTGAAAAATTAGCAACCCTTTTAAGTCACTGACTGAAGTTCAAGCAAACTGGGTCTGAAAGAGTCTCTGTTGAACTGGTTTTGGTCAGTAAAGAAAGCAAACCCTCCTCTGATGTGGTATTTCTCTATTAATAATGCCAGCCACATCAACTGTTTGAGTCAGTCAGCAAAACATGTAGAGGTGAGTGTGTGTTTGTGCTGGTGGCTGACTTCCCCACAGACCTCATTGTTTGTGTCCATGGTGACAAGCTGTGTTATCTCCCCTGATTCCACCCAGAGGACAGGAAGACAGGAGCTCACACAAAACTTCATACCTCAGAGCCAACCACAGTGGAGAAACAGTCAGACATCAAAGGATATCTGTGCAAACAGAGGAGTGTTCAAGGAAATTCAAATAAATCTCACACAGCACACACACACACACACACACACACACACACACACACACACACACACACACACACACACACACACACACACACACACACACACACACACACACACACACACACAAAGAAAAATACAATTTACACAACAGAAAATTTTTGTCATGTAAATGAAAATGTATTTTGCTTAGCTTTGAGAAACAATTTCTCGTGCATAAAATTATAATGCCTAAAGAGATTGTAAAGAAATATACAGAAAAACTGCAAAGCTAATCAGTTTTCAAATACACTACTCGAGCATATTCATTTAGTGTTTTAAGAGTTTTCAGTTATTTATCAGAACTCTTAATTTATTGTAGATGTTCTTTAATTTCCACAAGCAAACTGTCCATACTGATTTGGTCAAAATCTGTCCAAAGCAGTTGTTGATAGTGGTGATACGGAAATTCCCCAGGGTGACACTAGAAGAGGAGAGACTAAACATTATGTTTTCTAAAAAAATGATGTGTTTACATATCAGTTGCATTCTGAACATTTAACAATTTTAATTAGTCATTGTAGAGTCACATGTTAATGTAAGAAAAATTCTGGTTGCATTGTGGACACATTGTTGGATGCTGTTTTTCTTGCAGTTGTTCAAAGGAAAAAAGTCTTGCATTTCAAATGCAACACAGAAATGAAGCAAAAGCATAATGTGCCTCAGTTTGTGTAGCTCAGGCTGCAATTTAAAACTTTCAGACATGTTTCAGTCTTCTGGTATCCTTCAAAGTCTTCCTGACAGAATAACAGCACCAGCTTTGTACGAAGTGCACAAAGACTGCACTGTATGCTGCCAGAGAGCTTTTATTAATGGGTGAAACAGGTTGGATGACGACTTATAACAATCAGGAGAAAAATGTTTGTGTTTGAGAGAAACTGCAGAAAATTCAGAGTGTATATGGCAAGCTGTTTTAATGTATAAAAATGAGAAGAATATTGAGAAAATACAATATGGCTCAGGAATCACTGCAGTTTGAGAAATCTTTATAGAAGTTTTCAATTTTCTTCCCTACCGGCTGATTTCGTTTGAGTTTTTGCATGATGCCTCAGAAGAAAGCAACATTTTTGAGGTTTTCATTGCCAAACAGTTGTGTATTCTGAAGTGGAACTAAAACCCTGAAGAAGGTTTTCCACCAAAACCCAAAGCATCCCATCATTTTGTAAAACCTCATACCCAACTGTTTGAACCGACTCATCAAATTCTCTAATGACTCTCACAGCACAGCTAAAGCTTCCCCCTCAAAGGATGCGTTGATAACAACAAACAGAGTCACATGGGAAACATCCAATTAAACATGAGCAATGAAGAGATGGTTTGCAGGGAACAACAGGAGCTCCCAGGAAGTACAACAGGAACACTTATCTGGATTCTCATGAAGGAGCACATTCGACACTAAAGTCCAGAGTGTGATGATCTGCTTCCTGGTGACTTTAATCTTCTCTTCTGGTTTGGAATCTATTTGGTTAATCAGGCAAACATCAAAACTGGTACTTGTTCTACCTAGTTCTACCAGGTAGAACGAGGCTTAGGGTTAGGATTACCTCGTACTAGGTAGAACTTGTTCCTGTCATAGCTAAACAAATCGACCGATGACGAGAGGGAAACATTTGCATTTCCTGCTGCTAGATAAATACCAGGATTTTATGCATAAAGAAGAAAAAAGAAATAGGTTTTTGTTTCTGCAAAGGGCCGATTTGTTTTTGTTTGGAAGATGCATCATGACGCTCAAGTTTTTTCCTTTATGTTTCAGTGGCCAAACGTACTTTAATTCATGCGCCACATTTTGCCTCAATGTGGGCATTCAAAATGACCTTGCGACAACCGTGTTAGTGACTTCACCGTATGTTTACCCTGCTGGTAAATCATTCTCCAGTTTGCTCATAAAGTCAAGAGAAGGTCTGTGACAGTGGAGAAACTGCCGCCAGCAGAATGCATCGTGTGTTTTACTCTGAGGGGCTTCACGTGGGCTGACCAATCAGAGGCCTTCAGGCATTGACCAGAGACACTTTTATTTGTTGTTGTTGTTGGGGCACCAGCATGTTGTCAATGAACAATATGCTCACAAATAACAGCTTTGACTAAATCATTCATGCAGCTGAGAGCTGTAAAATTGTTTGTCTGGAGAAAAGCCTGCGGTGTTGGATGCTGTGGTGGTTTTGAAGCTTCTCTTTAGGAGGAGGGTGGCTGTTATTTTGACTTCTGCACCACATAGGTGCCGCCGACTTTCCTGTGCTGAGTTCATCAGTCTTTGCCAAGATTAATAAAATTAAACAAAAAAACAAACATTTACTCAACTATTAAAACTCGTATTTACATTCAACAGCCACATTACTATGTAGCACCACAAAAATGACTGGAATACCGAAACGTTTGAAAATAGTTAGATAAACTTTAGAAATATGTACTGGACCTTGGAAAAAAAAATATATTTGTAGTTTATTGAACCTTTTCACATTTTTTAGCACTACAAATCCAAAGTTTAACTTATTTCATTGACAATTTTGCTGTGTTCTTTGGTCTCATGGTGTTGTTTGTTCTCAAAATGCCTTCAAAGAACAGCTGTACTCATCCAGAGGTTAAACTACAAACAGATTTTGTATGCACAATAAGTGAAGGCACTTTTGTTTTTGAGTAAATGAGTCAGAAATCTTGAATACATCTGCGACAAAACAAAGACTTGAGTTCATTTTTCTTCAATTTCCCAATTTCACAGTGCACTGTCACTATTCACTCAAACCATCAAGGCTTGTTTATGTAATGACAGCATGCCAGCATGTACATGTCTTATTTCTTTGCTCATGATGTAAAAAAATAAATTTGGACCTCTTGTTGGCAATGCAGCATTAGAACAAACCAAACAACAGATTTGAATTCTCCCTGGAGCTCTGGTAAAATGTTGACACACTGAAACACTCACTGGGCTTGGTGTTTGAACTGGTTATCGAACTAATAGTAGTTTCTGGAAATTTAGCCTCACCTTCTCAAGCTCTCTTGTAATATGGAAACAACCAGTCATTGTACACCTTGCTATCTGTGTTGGCTAAGTAAACACACTGTGTAAGGATATTAAAGTAGATGCAGCTTTTAGTCTCATATTTCAGCTGTTTATTTCCAGGTCTCAATCACAAACTGTGTTTGTGTTTCTCTAAGTGATTGCACAAGCTGCTCTGCTTGATATCAGCAGGATGCAGGCTTCAGCTCCAAGCATCAATTAGCTCACAGTGAGACATCCCTCACACAACCAGGCACAGCTGTTCTGGGAACCATGTATTCCCTTCATCTTCCCACAGCAGCAAATTGCTGTTAAGTTTAGGTTATTATGGTTTAAAACCCAAACCATAATAACATCACGTCTTTGACTAGCCTTCAAATAATATTCCTCCTTAATTTTACAGAAAATATCACAACCAAAAATTCTATTTTAATTGGAAATACTTAAAAAGTAGACAGAAGTGTGCAACTCAAACCTTCACAGCGCTGTGCTATCCATGATCTACCTTCTCGCGATTCATTTCAATTTCGTCTCAATCTAGTTTATTTCTGCAAAATCAGCCAAATTTATTCTCTGCCGGAAATTCCTTTTTATTTTTTTACTTTTTACAGATAATTCAGAAAAATAATTTGTCCCTGTTTAGGAACAGATAGATAAAATGTAATTATTTATATTAATTACGTTTTCAAGTTAAACTGTTTTCTTAAGAGTGAATTTTTTTTACATGTAATTTAACATAGTCCTACTAACCACTTTACAATGTGGACACATTTGGGGGAGGGGATTAAATATAGATAAATGTGTTCCCTATACACCTGCAAACCAAATATAGCAAGATCGTTCAGCTGTTTATTTACAACAGAAAGATCTGACTGGATATAAAGGCAAATTTAAAAGAAAATTATTTTTTTTATAACCATTGAACGTTTCACTTATCTTGTCCCCAGCAGGAACTTTCTTTGCATGACTCGTTCCTCCTGACGAAAACACGTTACAGACACAGGCTAAAAATAGAGACGGATTGTTGTCCCCTCATCTCCTGGAGACACCTGAAGGTTATCAGGCCACAGCAGGTGGCTCCGGCATGAATCTCTCCCCACAACAGGGTGTTACGTCAGCAGCAAGCAGCCTGAACTGCTTTATTGAAGACAATGAAAAATGAGGCTCCAGATCTGTTGGAAAACATTGAAACTCAAGCATGATTACGTAACCAGGCGACACTTCGTAACTGTTGGTGGATAATAATGTGTTAAATATTTTAAAAAGCTAGAAGCTGGCTATCCCAACACTTCATTGCTGCCTCCAGCTTTGACTAACTGTCTTTCCTACTTCTTAAGTCAAATTTTTCTCTTTTCCGAGTATAGAAGAGGTGGCAAATCCACTCTGTAGACATGAGGGGGTGATGTATGTGAGCGCTAGTGCTGAGCCATGATGAAGGAAGAATATGGGAGTGAAATAGATTAAAAAGACACCACAGTCAGTGGTGAGATTGAATCTATTTAACAAGCCTGATCCTGAGACCACAATCTAATTTTTGTGTGATTTGGGCCTGATTTCCAGTAAAAGAAACACTTTTTGCTTCTGACTATGTCACGGAACTAACAGCATCCCAGCCTCAGCCAAGCATCCTTACTGTGAGGACGAGGCTGACAGTCCCTCAAGATTAGAGAGAGAGGGGAAGATATTTTATTAATTAGATCAATCACTACAGATAATGATCCCCCATTCTGAAGTGTTCTACAACCACCATAAAAGCAGGATAAGCTTTATCTATGCTGAGGAAGTGCTAACTGAAGCAACAGTGGCACAGCTTTTCTTGTTACCTTCTACAAAAATCCATACATGATGTTAAACTTGAGGCAACAATTGGTCTATAAAGGCAGGTATTGTTGTAAGTGAAGATTTTAGATAAGTACATTTATATTTAGCTTGTTTATATGTTATTTTTAAATAATACATGATCAACAGGAATAGAGTTTGCATAGTTGATTTGCTCCCTTGAAACTATTCAATATTTACTCTCTGGGTAAATGTACGATGGGTGAAACTGGTTTGCTGCCTGCCTGTCAGTCACAATAACACCACACAATTTTGTCCGTCCTCGAAATCACTGAAAACCCTGATGTATCATTCACATGGCCATTTACAAAAATATTTTTGTCTGTGCTTGTGTATCTTATCTTCATGGTGGTTATGTTGTTAAAC